AACAGAATGTATTTTGAAGACCCCTGTAAATCTGCACTACTAAGAAAAATGAATTATGCATAAATAAATGCCATCAAAAAGAAGAAATATATATATATATATATATATATATATATATATATAAAACTCCACAACAGATAGTTTTGAGATCTGTAATGACTAGGCGCTCAATGAAGAACTTAACATTGTATTAATTAAAATACTTTATTGTCAAAATTGCATTCAATAGTAGATTATTCTTATATATCTATGTTGCCGTGCGAGCGCCGAGTGATTACAGGACACGCTTTTTGACTACAAGCTTACACTATGAAAGGTAAACTGTATGTTTTTATTTTGAGTGAAGATGTCTGAAATACTTAAACTGAATAACTTTCTGTACTTTCAAATTTTGTGCATAATGTCATTTATATTCTTTATTGATCTAATCTTTACAAGATTAAATCTATCCAAAATTACATATTATCTAATAAACCTAATCCACGCGGCATTTATATTGTATTTTAATAACATTATTTTTATTTGTGTTTAAAATTTGCTGACATTTGAGATTCATTATCATTACACCCACTTGTGATTTCTGTACCAAATTTCTGGAAATGAATACAACTCATGTATGAATTCATGTAAATGTATGTCTGTTATAATATATGTTACAAATGAATATCTCATATATTGTATTTATTATCATGCTAAATAAAAAAAGTGAAGTACCAATTCATTCGTTTTTTTTGTTTAATTAGACTGCTCTCTAAAGATTAATAAATATAGCAATTTATGCACAAGTATACTGTGTGTTACAAACGTATTGTACTTGTGCATAAAATGCAACGCCAAGTACCTTTAAAATTACTAGTTTGAAATTCCCGCCCTAGCATTTGCTCACTAGTTCTTTTGGGCAGAACACAGATGGCGCCGGTCGGTAAGAAAAAAATTTCCTCCTAAAATTTGTATGGAGCCGTCATTCTTCTCTTTGAGTAAAAATGTTCTGTGCACATAGGCCTTGGCCAGACGTCCACCAAAGCAGCGCAGCATTAAATTATAATTTCTGTTTATCATCAAGTAGTTTCTGTAGTTTTTTTTTCAAAAATATAAATAAAATTTTACTTAAAAATATTCCCAAAGAAATTTATCTTCCAAAAAAACTTCCGTTGTACTTTTTTTTCTTAAATATAGGAAGAAAATTTCTAATTTGGCACCCCTGCGAGTGTCAACTGTCAAGTCCCAAGTGTCAAATTAGGGATGGGTCGTATCGCTTTTTCTGAGTACCGTATCTGAATCCGATATCTATTTCAAATATCAGATTTCGAAACTATGTATTTTAATATCTAGATATTTTACGGTTCCCTATCCACGTTGATTAATTGAATTCTAAAAAAAAAAATTGTGCAGGCGTATTTAAAAGTTGATTCATTCTATGTACATAATTTTCCTTATATTTAAAACTTAACATTATATATTTACAATTATGTCAGGGTTACTAGTTATTTATATCCCTCCGGGTTCAAATTCACGTTTAGGAACGTAAGCTCTCTGACTTTATTCGTCGAAAGTCTTGTTCGACGATCATTAATAATTAACCCTGTCTTACTAAAAATGCGTTTTTTTAAATTATTAAATTAAAAATTTCATTAAAAAAATATAAATTGAAGTAATATAAAAAAAAAAGCGATGATTTATTTTAACATCTTATATACCGCTTAATAATTGACTTTAACATATTTTTAGAACACGCTATCGAGTGGTAATATTTTTATTATTTGTGTAAGAAATAATACATTCAGTATTATAGCTTAGGGCGGAAGAATTTAAAATATACACACAAGGCACATAAGCCTTGGTCTGATTTCCACCAAAGCAGCATAGCACTATTAAATTATATTTTTCTTTTTGTGTACTTTTATTTTTTTCCAAAAATATGAATAAAATTAGCTAATAAAAATATTCACAAAAAATTTACCTCCTAAAAAATTTCCATTGTATATTTTTCTTCCTTAATTTAGGCAGAAAATTCTTAAGTAGTAAGTTGGCATCCCTGTTAAGTACCAATGCAATCCAGCTCAAGGCTGAACAAAATTTCAAAGACATCGTTAATACCGTAATTCGGATTTAAATGCAACAGAGTTTTTTTCCATGCTGTTAAGATTCAAAATTACTTAACTGCGCGCTTTGTCGCCCGTTACGGCTCAAGGCTAAACAAAACAATAAAAATATAATAATATCGTTGTAGTAATCGCTGATACCAAGATTAGTATTTAAATGAAACGGATCTTATTTGCATGGTGTTAAGATTCAAAATTACTTAACTTATTCATAATATCTGTTTAAAAATCTGATATCGTGCATTGCTTGCCGTCCCACTCTAACTAGTAAGTGTTTATATCTCACGCGCTCGTGCATTGCTTGCCGTCCCACTCTAACTAGTAAGTATTTATATCTCACGCGCTTTGTCGCTCGATATCTGATATCGTGCATTGCTTGCCGTCCCACTCTAACTAGTAAGTGTTTATATCTCACGCGCTTTGTCGCTCGATATCTGATATCGTGCATTGCTTGCCGTCCCACTCTAACTAGTAAGTATTTATATCTCACGCGCTTTGTCGCTCGATATCTGATATCGTGCATTGCTTGCCGTCCCGATCTAACTAGTGAGTATTTGTATCTCATGCGCTTTGTCTCTCGAAATCTGTTTAAAAATCAGATATTGTGGCAAACGCGTATGATATCGCCGTATCGCGATTCGTGTCGGTATAGCGAGCGAGCAAATCGTCAACTGGATCAGCCAAACCGCCGAATTCTGCTTGTTGATAAATTCATTAGTGATTTTTCTCTATCGTTTAAAATTTATTCTAATTGAATTACGCCAGAGTTAAAGTTATTTACATTTACCCTATTACTAATATGATGGCATATTTTTGTCATTTTTTGGGGATAAGTTTGGCAGATTTTGACAGATTTATTTTTATTTACTGTTGGCAGATTCGATGTCGGAAGATTGGTGTAGGGTTGTCAACTTTTTTTTGAAAAATATAGTATTCTGTGTTGCAAGTAGGGAAAAAATAAAGTGTAGGGAATAAAAAAAAATTATTCATTAATTTCTTTTCTTGAAGGCATATTTTTGCCTGGTTCTAGCACACCTCAACATTTATTCATTCATTATTTTTAAAAATGTTGAAGCTTTCGTTACATTTTCAATTTAAATTTAAATAAACAAGCAACTATTTTTTTTTATAAATGCCTTTTATTTTTTTCTTTGTTTTTCCATAAATCAACACACATGTAAGTGATAACTTATTAAACATTTATATTCTTTAAACGTTACGTCTTCCGGTTCGTGGTCCCTACTCGAGAACCTTTATTGCCCATCGGTCATCAGTTCTTCGAGCGATGTGGCATGCCCATTGCCACTTCAACTTGCAGATCCGGAGAGCTATGTCAGTGACATCGATTTTTCGGAAAATTTCCTCGTTCCGTATTTATCGCGAAAAGAAACTCCAAGTTTAGCTCTCTCCATAGCTCGTTGTGCGACTTAAAGCTTCTTCAAAAGGCCAATTTTTAGAGAACACGTCTCCGTGCCATACGTCATCGCTGACAACACACACTGGTTATAAGCCCTTGTCTTCGGGCACTGCGGAATCTTGAACGAAGAGATATCGCGTAGCTTCCTGAACGCTGCCCATCCTAGTTGGAATCTTCGAGTGACCTATTCGGACCTATTAGCCCAAGTTAGACATAGTGGTCGAAAAACAAGCACAAGTCACATTTTATTTAAAATAATTTCGCCGATAGTAACGGTGAATGCGTCGGTGTCACTGTCGCCCCTGACGATTCAATAATTAAAGTGTTATTGTTTTATTTTGATTTAATCATGCTTTCTGTTTCAATTTAAAAGTATCGATAATAATTGAATTATTATTCATATATGTGATTTATTTTACGCATCACAATAAAGATTGAAAATAAAGCGTTTTCACATACTTCATTTTTATGTAAATTTATATTTACCAAAAAGTAGAATACTATATTATAAAGTATGGTTGGCAACCCTAGATTGGTGGTCTGTCATAAACAATTTAAAAGTATTGTAGTTGCTAGCGATGGGTCGTTGAAGGTATTTTATTCAACTTAACGTTAACGTTGATTCATGTTTGTCAACTAGTTGATCAAGTAGTTAAATTCGTCAACTAGTTAACGTGACACATACATAAGTATGTTAAATTGCAAGACCTTTCTTCTACTAGGGAAAACGGATGAAATCTATCTATGCATAAATCTAACAAATCTGAATTCTTTTTTCTTTTCTTTGAAACTAATTTTTTTCTTATCAAAATGAACCATCATACGCCTGTGTTTAAAGATGGGTACTAAAACACCGATGAAAATATTTAAATATATTTCCGCTTCAAGTACTTTTTAAAGTTAAAGTGGTCAATTTCTTCGATATTTTCTCCTTGCATACATTACAAACAGCTTTTCCGCTAGAACTGTCTTTTTAGGTATGAAGCCATAATTCACTGTTAATACGTTCCATTATTTTGAATTTTGTACCCACAGTCCTCTATACACTTAAATAATCATAAATTAAAATAAAAAAAAAAACTATTCACAAATTGTCAAACAAAAATAAAGAAAGGGAAATTAAACATGTCCTTCATAAAATGAAACAAACATTTCAACTCAACTCTGTGACGTTTTTTTTCTTCAACGTAAGTTTTTTTCAACGTAAGGTTTTCAATTCCTTACGCTTAACGTATCGTTGACTGCGTTTTTATACGAATTGATTCAACGACAAAACTTCCGAAACGACGTTAACGAATTCAACTAGTTGATTTCAATGACAGTTTAAGTTAATTCGTTAACAAAAGATCAACGGTTGATTCAACTAGTTCGTTGATTCAACGCCCATCGCTAGTAGTTGTACTGTTTACTAACGTAAACATGTATTAGATTTGATTAAAATGTAAAAAGTGAAATTTTCCAACATTAAATTACCTTTTAAAATGGGCTCTTCGGAAGTATTGTTAAACTATATAAAAAAATTGGGTACGTAATGTTCACACATAAAATTGTCGCGATTTTTTTTAAATTACTTCGATTTTTCTCCATTTTAATAAATTGTGTATTTTTTCCCTTAATAATTTAGAGCAGTTCTATATTCTTTTTTAAATGCAATACATTTCACTACATTATTGGTACTCTCAGTAGGCGTTAAAATGTTAAAATTATTTTTTACAACTGTACAAAGTTAAAATACTTCAACAAAAATTTGTAATGTTCAGAATAATTTCAGTGAAAGTAGCAAATGAGATAATTTTTAGTGCAATTGTTAGTGCATACATTTATTAAATCTAGTGTGGCTAGCAAAAATAGTGATCAAGCATTCATCAAACTTATATCCAAAATGTGTAAGATGGTGAGCTTGTTGTCATGCTCATTGCACAAATGAAAAATGGTATTTTTTGTTTATGAAAATCACTTCTTGCCTCATGACCATTTCTCTCGTTACTAGAATCTAAAGATGAAATATTTGAGAACATGTATTTGTTATATATTGTTCATAATAATGGCCAAGACTGACTTTTTAATGCAGTTACTTAATTATCTACTTTCATAACGAAATATATAAGGTTTACTTTTGATTTATCTTTTGTTACTTAATTCAGTTATTTATTTAATTAATTCCACTATACTTGGCATTATAAATTAAAACATTGTGTGGAAATATTAAAATAAATTTTTGCTTTTAATGGTTACAAATATGCAAGAGCATAACCAAATGTGATAATAAAATTATAAAATTGCAGATCATCCTATGAAAGAAATACGAGAGAGATCTCTACAGTTAATAATAGCTAAATTGAAATTGGGATGGCGGTTGGACGATGAACTTCTGTGTACCAGAAATCTCTTGGAAAATTTGTTGGCATGGTTTAAAGTTCAGAAGCCAACTTTGCAATTTGAGGCACTCAGTTTGCTTTTAAATACTATCAAAGTAATTATCAAATTTCTGTGCTTTAGTATATGCAACTCTAAACATGAAAACTCTAGCAACAACATGAAAGATGGAAAAATTTAAATGATATGTCTGTCTAAAGCATTAATGGAATACATAATCATTGTTGTATTTCAAATATGACTATCTAAGTTATATATATAAATATTAATTTAATTCATAGAGAAACAATAATTAAAAATCGTGAAATGTATCCCTCAAAGTGAAAAGTGTTTGTTCATTTATCTACAAAAATTTACAATATATAGTTTCATCTTGAAAATTATTCTTAAAAAATTTGGTGAATCTTTAACAGCTCATTTTCAATGATTAAAAGATTTGATAATATTATTGTATTTGATATAATTCATATGATCTTTTTGACTGTGTCATCTTTTAAGAAGTATTAACCATTACATACTTTTGAATTGTAGACTAAGAGTGGAATGTACATTATAAAAGAGTTAGGTGTTAGACAGGTTTTATCAAATCTCAAGCAAATTAAATCTAAAGTTATACCTGAAGCAATAGAGTTGTTTCATGATGTAGTCCAGACATTGCAGTTTTTGAATACTGCAGAGTCCGAAAATGATATGTTGGTGCCACCACTTTCCTTGGATGGAAGTATAAGGTAAATTTTCAAACATTCTTTACTTCTTCTTACTATTTTATTTTATTATTTTTTATAACTTTCTTAAAATAACAGAATCTTATTAAAGAGTCATGAAGAGGTCAGTGTCCAGGCGCTCGTTTTTAATGCAATATACTTAGCAATCTAAGTTCAAATCCTGGAGTCAGCACCAATTAAATTGTTAATTGTAAGTGCTGAATTATCGCATGCACAGCGGTAGCGGAAAACATTGTGACAAAACCTGCACATTTTTGAAGTTATGTGAAGTCTGCCAATTTGCAATTGGGCCGCATGGTGACCTGTGTAGTAGTACCTATAGGCTGATACTTTTTTCTTAATCGTAAAATGAATAATGGTGTTAACCATGTGCATTATTGTGAGAGCTAATGACACTATTGCACAGTACAGTGGTATGGAGAGATGAATGCAATTATTGATTTTGATCCATTGACAATTAAGTTAACATATCACTTTAACTAGGTTCCTAAATTTATTGCATACTAGCTGCTACCCACGACTACGTCTGCGTAGAATAGGCCGAAGGCGTAACATTCAGACAGAAAGAAAGATATACATAAAAATTTGTATATATATTATAGCTTATTTGCTATTCTGATGTATAAGCTATATTATTGTAAAGTTTCATTAAAATCCATTTAGTACTATTTGCATGAAAGAGTATCAATCATCCATCCATACATACAAATTTTCGCGTTTATAATATTAGTAAGGATGTTCCCGTAATCATGTTAAAATTTTAAAAATTCCGGCTAATTTTACTTACCTTACTTTATAACATATATTGTAAAAGCAAACCGAAAATAGTAATATTTTAAAAATTTCAGTATTTGCACTATGTGTATTTTGTAGTTAACATCATCTATATTTATAATAATTCTTCAGGTCCGGAAATCAAAATTCCTGCAATAATGACCATAGTGACTCCAATCAACATAGTGACAGTAATGACTGTGGTACGACTTCTAAAATTAACATGGAAACTGGAGAAGTTCCTATGTGAGTAATTCTATATTATATACTTATTTTGAAGTTAACGTAAAAAGTTATCTTTGTCGCACTAAACACCGCCAGTCCAGTAGATAGTTTGTTATGGCGATACGGCTCTACGAAATTAGCCGATTGTCTCTTTGCAAATCTAGCCGTGATAGGTCATTGTCCGGGTGCTCGCTTTTAATTCAATATACTCGAGCAAGAATTCGGTCCCCGGAGCCGGCCCCAACGAAATTGTTAATTTTAAGTGCTGACTTATCACGTGCTCAGCGGTAAAGGAAAACGTCGTAGGGAAATCTGCGTATTTTCGAAATAATAAAAAGAAAAAATAGAAGATAAGTGAAGTCCGCCAATTCGCAGTGAGGCCGCGTGGTGGACTATACCCTGGTAACAAATTTTGGCAGTAAATTGTGTAGTAATGGTGAAAATCGCACTATATATCTGGGTATACTTTGTGTTCGTGGTTTCATGAATGCAATGTCCCGTATACAGAATTTATTTCCTTAGCACGCACGGGAGTCGCTTAAAATTAATTTAAATCAACAAGTTAATAAACAGAATAATTATTCGTCCCTATCATCTCTCGAAACTCATGTAAGTAATAATACGGTAATAATACCTATTTTTCAAAAATGAAATTAATGTCCATTCCTAGGTCAAATTCCCCTGATGGAATTACGGTGTTTCTTCTCCCATGGGTTGACCTTTGCCCGTCAGATTTAAAGACAATTGTCCTGGTGGAAGATGCGTTGAAAGTGGTTAAGTCCACGAGGAGATGTTGCCGGTTCATTCGCGATGTTTTTTTACGTGACTTCGAACCTGAAATATTCTTAAACAGATCGGCAATAATCAACGTACGTAAGTTCTCCATTTGACTCCTTATCGTTGCGTAAAAGATTTGCTTTAGATTGTTTAATTTTGTTACAGACATTGCTACTGATAGCAGATGGTCAGCAAAACGGTCATGTAGGTGAAGCTTTACGCACTTTGTTGTGCATAACTCGAGCACTACGTCAAAGACTTGCCCAGTTATTCTGTATAGACCTTATTCACAGAGCTAATAAGGTATGATATTATAAGTATACCGTAAAGGATATAACTATTAATTTTAAGTAGTCATATTTTAAACAGTAATTATTATGGTACAAATTAAACAATATTAATATAGAGATGAAACGATTCGAGTGAAATCATGAAACGTAGAAACGTTTCATGATTTCACTCAGAGTTCTTTTTAAAATAACCGCCTAATTTTTTAGAGCATCTATATACAGCGTGTCGTTACCATCGCGACAATAAATGAACACACGTCTAACGCTACTTGACAATAATAATAAAAAAATATTAACGTTAAACAAAATCCATAATTAAAAAAAATATTTTTCAAACAAACTAATTAAGTAAAAAAGAAACAAACAACCTATACAACTCGCGCCACAGCGTCGCATTACAGGCCTCTCCTCCCAACAGTATGTTTTGTCTCTTTTAAATTCATTCAATCCATTCATATGCTATGTGACCTTTACAAATGAACTTTACGTTACAGTTTTATACGTAAGGGTGATCTAAAATTCTTTGTTTTGGAAAATTTAATAACTCTGTAAATATTGATGTTTAAAGAATGTATGATGTTTAATACAATTTTAAAAAGTTATCCCCTATATGTGTGTTCATTTATTGTCGCGATTGTACAGACACGCTGTATATAGGGTATATTTAGTGAGATGTCGATGGATTTGGCTCGACGCCGTCTCCCAATCTCACTTAAGAGTTTTCCGAAATAAGTTTAAAAGTTTCAGTTTAATAACGTTACCCTACGGGTGTTGTAAATGTTCATGGACAGGAGTTTATCACTTAACATCAGGTGAACCGCCAGCTCGTTTGCCACTTTCTCACAGAAAAAAAAGAAACCTTGATTTACTTATTTTGACCCCGTTAGATTGTGTGAATATTATCTTGACCCCCTGCTGTGAACGCGCCACGTAGTTAATGGATCGATAATCGTCCAAATATTATCTGAAGCGAAAGTATTCGATGACTCCGTGGCGCAGTTGCCAAGGTATTGGCTTCGGCGTCGGGGGTCGTGAGTTCGATTCCCACGGGACAACTATATGTGCGACCCACAGAATAGTTGGTTCGTATCTGGGTGTTTGTCCTCGTGCAATTTATGTTTGTGAAACGTCCTTACAACACAGGATAATGTTTTCCTAAAGCGAGGGCAATCTTTTTAAAAAAAGATATAAAAAAAGCACTTCGTTCATTCGGTTAGGTGCCCATGGAAGGGAACGGTTCCTATGACGAGGTTAACGCCGAGTTGGCTAACATTGCCGGCGGATGCCCTAAGACAACGCGCGCAGACGACGCACTGATAGCGCTGCGCCAAATGCCCGCTCCAACGTATGCCCTGGACGTATCGCACTCTATACTTTCCATCATGTCCAGGAGCGTACTGCTGCTGGATTCGAATGACAGTGAGGCACTTAGTACCGTAAGTATTTTGATTATCCAATTTGTATGTGTTCTAATGTTATAAAATATTATATAATATGTTCCCTTAAGATTTAATTAATTGGTCACCCACACGATACTTAATTTTATGGTGTATACAAAAATACATATTTGGTAGCGGGTAGCTTTTTTGACGGCATATTAAATAAATGAGTGGGCGTGGACAGTTAACTCATTTGATTTTTTACAACAATATTTTTCACTGTACATAAAATTAGTTTGGCTTTCAATGTAAGTAACACTGCAGTAGTGTCTTTGACATGAACACTGATTGGAATTTTTATCTTCGCAGAATGAATTGAACATATGCTTGGATTTGGTGGAATCACTCATCCAATTCTTATTGGATTGTGTCGATGAACGATTTTGGCTTGCGGAGCATAGTACTAAAAGTCACAAAGATATAGCGCACAAGAGCTGTATGTTAATGCGAATTTTGGGCGAGCTGTTAATAAAGTACAGGTAAGTTGATTAAGTGACAATAAAATAAAATCCTTGAATTGTCAAGAGCATGAGAGAGAATGAAATTGCTTCATCTAAACGTTAATTTTATATTCATAGTCTTATCTGGAGTATACAATCTTTGTAGGTATTCAGGTTTATTAAAATGTTACTGATGCTTATTTTAGTCATAGCGTGTTGGTTAATTTTTACGGACAAAAATAGGTTTCCATTAAATTACAGGAAATCCTTTATGACCAAGGCGGAACGTGGACACCACAGGGCAGCCTGGCTGCGATTGCTGTCATGTGCAGGAAAACTTCTGGACTGGGCTCAAAATTCGCCTCTGCCTCCGTCTTCCTTGATTGTCGCTGTACAGTCCGCTCAATTGGATCCAGCACTAGAGTTACTATACCCTGAATTAAGCGCAAAACTCAACGAATCCCTTTTGGTACGTAAGATAACGTTAATACCCGTTTTGAAGAGTCACAAAAATTTAAATTTGTTTACACAAATATTATAAATAAAAGTATTTTGTCATTCTTATTTGTAAAGAGTGAAATTTGTGTGAAATTCATCTACGAAACATTTTCAGCTTTCGAAATCTCTACCTGATCAAGAGCATAAAAATAAATATAAAGCTCTCAAAAACCTGTTCGTCAGCATGGATTACGCCGTTCGCTTCATGAAGAAGAAGGAAGCCGCTAGAAGTACGAAGGAGGTCCTCACGGAAATTGAGAATTCGCTTCCGACGCTCGGCTTGCATCACAGTGAAGCATACTTTGAGGATATCGCGAACATTCTTCTATACAAGAGCGGGGACCTGAACTTCGACGATGGCGATTGGTCGACGGTGAGGAGTATTTCGTTGAGATTGATGGCTCACAACACGGAATGGGTCAAAGTGAGATTCTACCAGATGTTCGCCGAGATGGTGAGGTCGGTGTTGCTCTGCGATGACACGCTCCAAGCGGAGCGCGAGCGCTGTCTCTTCCTGCTCTGCGATGTTGCCGTTTTGACAGAGATTTGCTGCCACGGCTTGTCTTCGCAAATTGACGAGGTAGGCAATAGATTTTTTTTCCTAACTTGCGTGACAACATTGTCGCCGTTTCGTTAGTGTAAAATCATTCTGAACACACAGATAACTTTTTTTTTGATAGTTACTATCGCATTAATACAATTCGATAGCAAAAACCGTTTCAAGAGAGAACATGCAACTCTTACTGTTTATGAGAGCAAGTACGCTATATGTATACGTTGTTCATTTGCACGAAAAACTAATTGATAGCTAAAACGTATTTTTATATATGAACATAACATAACATAACCGTGGTAAGGCCAAGCAATAGTATTCGCTGTCGAACGATTGGACAGGTCCGTCTGGGGAAGCACCACGCCCTCACAGAAGACCACACGCCGAGTCTTCCATTATGATAGTTCTGTGTGGGGAACGGGTGGTGAAAATGTCCACTGGCGGCGATAATAAGTTAATCAGGTGAACCGCCAGCTCGCCTGGCATCTTACTTAAAAACATAATTTACATTTTCCTTTATTTTTAAGAAAACCTGAAGAAAGCACTTATCGCACTACTCAGTGAGAGTATCTCATTTAAGGTAAAGGCGTGTGCTTCGGATATTATGTTACATCTGCTGCGTGGCAGACTCGTGCTTAGTGAGAGCTGTTGGTGGCGCCTCCTGGCAAGCATGCTGCCAATTCTGCCCCTGCTGCACGTGTATGCGGCGCACGATACGCAGCTAGGTAGGTGATCCTAATAATGTTTGCTTTCTCATAATAATTGGAATGTGCGCAAGTTGTATTTGGTCTTTTTATTATTCATTAAATGTTTTTTTTTTTTTTAATAAAACACTACCCACGTTTTACAAACATAAATTTCACACGGACAAACACCCACGTGCGAAACAACTATCTGTGGGTCACACAAATAGTTGTCCCGAGTGGGGATCCACGACCCCCGACGCCGAAGCCAATATCTTGGCACCTGCGCCACGGAGTCATCATTTACCAAATATTTGAGGAATATGTTATGTAAATACGGAAGTTTAATACAAACTATGTTAAATTCATTGTTGTGTTAGTCTGCTGTAACGCGTGAGTCATTCAATTCATTTTCTTGCATTAACAAAGTTCACAGATTACGTGGACTTTATATAATTGGCATATACATTGGTATAAGAGTTCTAACGTTATTACCTTGATTCTAATATTTTGACTATTACTGAACTTGAATATTAACAACTACTATAACGACAAGCAGCGCTAGTTATATCACCGTCCGGGAACGCAGCCGAAAAGCAAGTCCGCTCGACACGTCCATGTGTCCCTTCGTTCGAGTCGTCATATCCGGTATACAGTGTTGCCAGCGACAACATTGGGAAATAAGAAATATCAGACACCACTTAGCGTCGTTAGAGACATAATTTAAATGAATAATATTATTAAAAGTAAAGCGGTACGTTTGAAATTATATGCATTAACGAGTGTGTACAAATTGTTTTGTCGATAAATGAACAAACTTCTGGCGCTGTGGGATTCGAACCTGCGTCTTCAGGTTTTGCGCCCAGACGCTTCACCAACTAAGCCAAGCGGCCGTAATTTAAAATTTATATGTATGTAAAGATATTGTGTGTTGTTGTTGTTTTTATGTAAGAATGTGGCAAGCACGCTGACGGTTCATTTGTTAAGTGATAACCGCTGCCAATGGACGACTGCAGCACCTTATACTAGTACACTTCCACTTCCCGTCGCTCTTCTGTGAGGCCGTGGCACTCCAGTCGAGTCTGCCCACTCGTGCAACAAAAAAGACTGCTAAGTGGCCCTATAATAGAAATATCACACATTCAGATCCGTAAAATGGCTTTGTTTATTACTTTTACAGGAATAGCCATCTGTAAATCCCTTGAGCCTGACATCATCGAGTGCATGGGCGTGTCGTTCGCCGAGATGGTTTCGGGTTTAACGCGTCTCTTGTTCGTGAGGTGCGTTGCCGTTCAACTCGAAGCGGCACACGCGCTCTGTCGTCTGCTAGGTTCTTATCACAATTATTTTTCTCAACCCTTACTAACGTTACAGAGATAGTCATCTCTGATGTTGACCAAAAAGCAAGTATTTTATTGGGATAGCTTAGTAGCTGTTCATTGTCGAGTGCAGATATCTCAATATATAGAAAGTGTCAAGAAAATAGAAATACACTAGATGTTGATACTGTAGCTCAACATTTCAAAGTGAGAGTTAAATTTTGTTAAAACAGGACAAAAATAAATGGAGATATCCGCTCTGTAAAGGCTAACAAAGCTTATACAAATTGAAAAAAAAAAAAAATGTTCCTACCAAGTTAATTTATTTATACAATAGCTTGGCTTGTACGATGTTTTTTAACTTCAACAAAATGTGCTCCATAACTTTTATTTTTTGTCTTTATTAAAAAGTGTGCTTATTCTTCATATTCTACTAATTTCCTTTAGGATCATATTTTGTTACATTATCACCATTTTGGTCATTTATTTATATAAATGTTTTGTTTCATCTATCAAGTGTATACAACCGATGCATGGGGCTCTTTTTGGTGTTGAAAGGCAGTGTCTATTATTAGAATAAACAATTATTATGAATACAAAATTATAATAGTATAATCAAATGTACTTTTTGTTTTCTGGATGTTCCCTGAAACCGTTTAATGTGATATTGTTATTATTATTTTTAGGTGACGACCGATATTTGCCTCCAAAGGAATCGCTTCGTTCGGATATTTTGTTGAACGCACTTAGAAGACTGGAGCCGCAGGATTTCAATTTAGATAAATCTTCAACCGTCGCCAGCCCGCAGGTAAATATTAGCAATAAATTATTTTAAATCACTTATATTTTATAAAAGTTTAACATTTTTACAAGTTTAACTTTGCCTCAATGTTTCCCGTTGCAAAACCGAAATTGTAGTTATTCTTATAACTAACACATTTATTATAATACTTTTGATCATGTATTCTGTGTCAAATAAAACTAGCTTATAGATATCGAGGCGTTTCGAATCTCCCTCTACAGAGTCCATGGTAACGGAACAGACTATGTTATAGTGCAGAATTCGCGTGAACATAAGCCACTGTGAAATTTGCAGATTAACTTTACGCCGTACAAATCTTTAAAGATCAGCATAGTGTTGCTTATTCGCTCGTGCCACAGTCTAAATCGCTTCATCTATCGCTCCTATTGTGTGTTGCTGTACATACGTTTAAAATTGTTAACTCTTTGGTTTTGCGTTTTCACTTAAAATTTCCAAGCGGTTTTTGCGCATGACAGTACATGCGTAGAATTTATGTTTCGCGCCTACATCATCGGGTGACGGTATGTCAGTTTGCGAACTTTTCTATTTAAATACGTTTTACTTAGCAATTGTTTACATTCCAGACCGCTGGCCTAGTCCAGGTGTTGGAGGTGTTGAAGCAAGACCTGGAAATCGAGGAGGGGGGGAAAGGGTATGTGGCGTGCACGCAGAGGCCGGGCCTGGAGCCGTCGCTGCGGCGGAGCACCCTGCAGCAGCTGGCGGTGCTGCTGCGCCAGAGCGAGACGCACGATACCTTCCTGCAGCACGACGGCTTGAACCTCGTCGTTTCTCTACTCAGGTACGCCATTTTCATTACATTAATAATGCTAATATTTTAATGTAGACTCGGACGTTAATGCACGAATATTTATTGCATTTTTAATTTATATGAAGCCAATGGGCCAGCGGCTGATGAAATATTCATGTCTGTATAATATTTTAAATGAAGAGCGCGAATTATGCTGTTTTTTCGTATGTGAAGGACAAATACCAATAGATTATATGTCATTTTAAACTTTTCCGGAGAAAGTCGATACAATATATGAATACAAGAAACTAGATAGAAAATTAAGTTTCTTGTATTATCAGTTTTTAAATACAGACCTGCAATTATTTTAAATTTTTGTTTTCCAGATTATCTTTGATGATAGACGACTATTTAGCGTTCCCCGAATGCGCTATAAGCTGCGTTTCCGTATTGAACAGCGTCTGCTTCGCGAGTCGACACGATCTGTCCAAAGTTCCGGATTTGCCATTGTTATTGCTCAGAGGTGATTATTCATTCACAATAATATCATACATTTCATTAAAGACGGGAATCTAACTTAATATTGGTTAAAATATGTAGAAAAAGTGCGAAAAGATTGTCGCCTGATTGTCGGCTGATTACCACACCGGTATTAATATTTGTTTTCAGTGATCCTCGTGTTCCCGTCGAACGACGCTTGCGTGTCGATGTCCGCTCAGCTCTTGTCGCTCGTCGCGTGGTCTGGCTTCGTGCTGCAAGAGATAAACTCGTCGCGTGAGAAGGTCCCCGCGCTGCCGCTGTGCGTCACTGAGCGGACCTCGCTTCCGTTCCCGACTAACAGTTATTGGAGCACCAGTGCTAACGCTGAGCATTGCCCTTTGGGTATGATACTGCGCGGGTTTCTGATGCCCTAGTTTTTTTTTAATGTAAAGTTATTTAACGGGTAAACGGTCAAATGGTATTTTATTTGCATCGCAACGAATATTTTGCTTTGCATTGTGATATATTATTGTAAAAAAATAGTAACGTCCTATAAAGTCCTACTGCTGTGCAAATGCTTTCTCTGTAAAGAGGCTATTAGGGAATAGTCCACCACGTGACCACTGCGGATTGGCAGACTTCACATATCTTCGAAGTGTTTGTTATAATTTTGAAAACGGGTCTCCTCAAGATGTTTTTCTTCACCGCTGAGCAATGTGATAAGGCAGCATTTAAAATTAACAATTTTATTGGTGCCGGCACCAGGATTTGAACACAGGGTGCTCGAGTATATTAAGTTCAAAGCGAGCGCCCGGACACCGAGCTATCACGGCTCCCGTGGCGTATTTTAGGTTATCCTAAAACCGGATACAATTCTACGATCCTAATCTCTTAAAATCAAAAACCTAAGCAAAGATTACTACTGCTAAAACGATTAATGGTGATATAATATTATGTACATAGAATGGCTGCAAAGTGAGGAGGAGTGGCGGCGGGCGATTAGGGTGCGTTGGTGGTGGGCGTGGACAGGTGGGGCACAGAGCCTCCGCGGTGTCCACAGCGTCCACAGCGTCCACGCTAATAGCGCGCTCGCTCCGCCGCCTGCAGAAATTGATCTGGCGCTCATGCGTGCGGCCTGCCCCGTATCTTCCAGCACGAAAGCGCTGCTAGCTCTCGAGAATGCGACCTCGCATTCACAGGTTATGGAAGCGCTTTACGCGCTGGAGAGGTAAGATGTTTCATGCTTCGCATACTGCGAACCTGCTTCATAAGTAAATGGAATGAGTACTTTCCGTACGGGAACATTTTGATGATAGCGGATTAATAAATAAATATTCTATAAAATGTCATTTATTTTAGGCAATGATAGCCTATTGTTAATAAAATCTATAGTTATATGGAACCCTTTATCTTAGTGACAAAAATATGAACCCAGCGTACAGTGACACAGCTGTTCTGATGTTTGGCACTGAAATAAATAAATGACAAAAAACTAAGCTACGCTATACCTGAACCACCGGACATTAGAAAAACACTATGTTCATCATATAATTTTTCCAGTAGTGAGGATCGAACCCACACCTTTTGACCCTTTGACGCAGGCAGGTACTCTACCCACTACGTTATTCGGGTCAAAATACGCTGAACGTCGCTATAATAAATATATTGAAAGATGTGACACCTTTTTATATCCTGAAATGATCCGTTATCCATTTATTAAGTTCTCCAGTCAGTCATTTATCAGTTATCCATTATCCTGTTATTTTAATTGGTCATTATTAATAAATATGTTAACTGTGGTAAGACCACGGAACAGTCTTCGCTGTCTCACGAATGGGTAGGTGCGTCTGGTGAAGTATCTCACAGAAGCCCGGCGTGAAGTGGAAGTGTTATACTTTTCGTATAATGAGTGAGGTAACTGGGACCTACTTTATTGAAAGGTAGCAACATATCTGCAACCCTACAAATGTCGATGGGCGGCGGATATCAATTAACATCAGGTGAACCGCCAGCTCGCTTGCCAAACATTAAAAAAAAATTGCCTTCCCGATAGTTACACAAGCCTCGTGTCGCTCTCGTCGAGCTCCTTGTCGGAGTACGGCGGCCTGCCGTGGCAGCACATTCGCCGCTTCCTCTGCGCCTCGCCCGCCTCCCCCGCCGACACTACCCTTCTAGTTAATCTGTTGCAATTTGTCATAGCTTATATGGACAACGTACCGAATAACCGTATGTGTTCGCCATACATAACAATCTGTTATAATTATGTCACTTAAACATTCTTTCTTTTTGTAAACACAATAAAAACACTGTTAGCCACACAATATTTTACCTTGGATCGAACCCACACCCTCAGGCAGAAAGACACACACACACTACATACTAATGGCACACTACCCATTACGCCAATAGTGTCATCAATTAAATCAATAACAATTAAAACGCTACAGCTCAACGTGTTCAGTAGTCATTCTGCAAAGGTGGATTTGGTCGACAACATACACAAAGCATAGTATCTTTACATAGCAGTTCTATATACTGGCACAGTTTTTAATAGGCTTATTTTATATGACCTACAAATGATCGCTTCAAGTATGATTTTTATACGACTTGCGATTGGTGTTTGGGGTTGTAACTTTTACTTTAATCAAATACGGTTCGGGTTCAATGCGACTGGCCACCAGAGCCTACAATGCTGTAAAATAAAGCTTGCTCTTCAATTGTTAAAGGCACCGCCATGTGTTGGCTTAAGCCGTACTTCATCGGCAACGACGTCACCGTGATAACTTTGCTGAGCCGCGAGCGTCTCTACCCTCAACAAACGCCCCGCGAGGACATAGAAATGATCCAGTTGCGCATACACATCGTGAAAATCATCTGGCGCTGCGTACGACTGCTGGAAACGCAGGACGACTACGACATAAGGCGGATGGAGAGCTTGCTGAAAATTCTATTCGCCTGCTTGGATAAGATCAATTTTAAAAATTTCCATATGTTAGGTGAGTTTTATACGATTATATTCCACACTATAACATAAATAATCCACCTATCTAAAGGCCAGCTTTTAGTATGACTACTACTTTTACAGATTTTCTCACGTGTTAGTGTGAAATGTAGAATTATTTCAGTAAAGCTTGTTTTGTTATTATTTCGAAAATATGCAGGTTTCCTCACGATTTTTTCTTTCAACGCTGAGCACGTGATAATGCAGCACTTAAAATTGACAATCATTGGTATGATATGTTTTTGTGGGGGATCGAACTCAGGTTGCTAGCACGTTTTTAAAGTAAACAAGTTGTTGTGCTGAGTTTCTCTCGCCGGTTCATCTGAGGTCGGTGGCTTTTCATCTCCGAACCGGTAGTATTATGACCGTCAATAAGGAAGTGTACCGCTTCTATATCGAATAAAGATATTTGTTTTCATTGATTTCATTGAAATCGTTCCATAGGATATCTGAATGAGGTTATTCGGTGCATACGTTGCGCTCTGCACTCGCGGTACTGCAAGCTGACCGAATCGAGTCTGCTGGAGGGTGCTAAGGCGCTGGTCAGGGTGCTAGGGAGCGGCGACGGCGGCCGCAAGGGGCAGGCGTGCCGTTTGGACGCGATGATCGCACTCCTGGCTATACTTCGGCAGATCCGCGACGAGGGAATACCAGTACAGGTATTCCGGATAGGTTTACCTATTAAAACTAAAGTTGTATATATTGTGTTTGTTTCCACAAATTCCATGTGCGCCAAAAATTCGAAGGAATTGTAGATGGATTCGCGTGCATACCCTGTCGTCCTATAGAAGCGTGCCCCAAAACACTGAAACACACGAGTAACTCTGTTTACACCACTGTGTATATGCATATCATTTATATCCATTGTGGTTTTATAATTTAGTTATTTTTTATCTTAGGGGTATTCATGACACGTGTTTTAATTTAGTTGTGTGTGTGTATGTGAATTTCAGTTTTGAATTGAAATTTTCAATAACTTCACGGAGAGTGACTCTTTTGAAACATAACGAGTCTTGAGCATTTCAGCTGATTAAAAACCACACGCTTTAACCACTAAGCTAAACGGTTGATTGCCACAACGAGCTTGAGACCCCGTCTTGGGCGGTTTCGGATATATTGGTTAACAGATAAAACACCCTAACATATGCCACCGATATTGAATAGTGTTAGTGCGTCAGATCAATTATGAGCTTTCTCCAAAATTTAAGTGAAATACAGCTTGACAAAAGTGTTATTGAATATGACATGTAAAAATATTGCTATTTGCGAACTCAATACGGTCTCCATTGTATGAAAATTTTACGCGAAAAAGTATGTAAAGGGAATTCTCGCAACAAACATAATAATAAACCATTTAGCATGTAATTAAATAATACTGTTTATATCTAACTTTATACAGTAAAATGTCCCATGAAAACATGATATACAGAATAAATATAGACGTACCTTAATGGATACATATTTGTTTATTACATAAACACCTCTGTTCATGTCGCGTGTTAAAGGTAAATATTTATGTTATACTAGCTGACCCGGCAAATGTTGTTTTGCCATATAAATTATGTGATTCTCCACCCTGGCTGATATGCACACAAAATTTCACAAAAATCGGGGGAGTACAAACACCGTAACACGAGAATTTTATATATTAGATTATACCAATACTGTAGTAAGTTATTTAAAAATTTACTAAACTTGTCAAAAGTACAGGTGTACAGACATGTAATTAATTTCAGTTAAAAAACAGTGGTTTGTTGTCAAACTTGAAAGTATTTTTTAATTTAAATAGTGTTATGTACAACATACTTTACGTATATTATTTTATGTATAAATAAGTCCCCTACACAAATAACAGTTTAATTTTTTAGTGACTTCTTATTTTTGCGGCTCAGTTCATATAAAATATTTATAAAGCCTATAGACTATATAATATTTATGAAGCATGATATACTAGGCCCTCTAAGTTATAAAATTTAAACTAAGTGAAATGTTGTTTCGTTGTTCATTACGTGATAGATTATATTGGAATATCGTTTTTATTTGTAAACAAAACAATCTTACCGGAAACAGGAATTGGAGCAAAATGTAACCCATATTATGATATCTGGCGTAAACAGTCATTAACTTTAAGAACTATATAGTAGGGCCACACAGCAGCTTCTACTGTTGCACGTATGAACAGTTTTATTTATTTATATTTTATGCACATAAAATAAGTACAGAGGCGGACTTAATGCCATCAGCATTATGTACCAGTCAACTTTTGGGTTGTCCAGCGAAGTTTTAGTAGGTGAATTGTCCGGGGGTAGTAGTATGCCTCACAGACTAGCGTGAAGTGAAAGTTTTATAGTTTCCCGTTCCGTCCGGTGAGTGAGGTAACCGGGGATAACTTTTTAATAGTTGGCAACGCATTTGCCACCCGTCTGGTGTTATAGATATGTGGGGGTAATCACTTAACATCAAGTTAACCGTTTGCTCGCTTGCTTACATAAAAAATTATAATTTTAGTCCGGTCACCCCAGCAAATGCTAAAAGTGTCTCGAAGTCTTGTCGACTATCTTCTCTATATGCCTGTGGATATTTCATTACATCAATAAGCTCACAAATCATCTTAAGCTTTTGTTACGCTTTGCATTTAACGTTCTTTTTATCAACTTCCTTTTTACCAAATTGACATGTAAGCGTTTTTTTATCGACCAAAAGATTGTTCGTATCAACTACTTAAAATGTTTGAGAACATACATATACGTGCCTTTTAGCACCCCATTAAAATATCGTTACAATTTTGTGCGATATCAATTTAATTGTTCAAGTATTATGTGTTATATCTATGTAGTTACCCTACTTTGGATTCTATTTTAAGTCCGTGATAAAAATTATGATGATGATTGCGTTGTAAAAATGTAATTTGAAAAAGTGTGATTGCTGTAAAGGAATCACATTCGATAACGTCAAACATTGCTAGAAATGCAATATAGTCATCGATGTTCGCGCGGTGAAATATATCGATCGCTTACCTTAATGTAAACTTATATAATTAAAAAAAAAGTTCCTTGCTGGTCAGGTTTGTTTAGTGATCTAGTGGTAGTTTGACGTTCAATAAGAGCTTAAAATAAGCCTACATCGAGTAAATAAATTTTGACTTTGACTTTAGCTTAGTGGCTCAAGCGTCTGGACGAGTAATCCGGAAGGCGTTGGTTCGCATATTGGTAGCGGTGTACAATTTTGCGACAGTTTATCTTCATGTTTTTCAAAAATAGACGCCAATACCTCCATTTAGGACACATTCTTTTTACACAACATTCTCTAGTCCCAAACTAAGCAAAGCTTGTACTATGGGTACTATCTTCGAGGGCGTCAGCAGTTAGTTCGCATAAATGATAAATCTTCTCGTTGGAATGACTTAATTGCTGGTGTGCCTCAAGGCGGAATTTTATCTCCTATGTTATTTTCTCTATTTATCAATCTTATCATTCAAAATCTTCAATGCTCGTATGACCTATACGCCGATGACTTACAACTTTATTCGCAGGCCGATGTCGATTGCTTATCTATAGCAGTGGGTAGGATTAACAGAGATCTAGAGCATATAAAATCGTGGGCCAATAGATTTGGTCTCTTTGTTAATCCCGCTAAATGCCAAGCAATAATTATTGGTAGTCGTCGAATGCTTAACAAGGTACAAACAAATGGTTTACCTCCAATTGTATTCAACGGCACCGTAATCCAACCAAGCTCATCGGTAAAAGATCTTGGGTTACATATCGACACCAACTTAAGCTGGCATGCTCAAGCGAATCATGTCAGTCAAAAAGTAACCGGTATTTTGCGAAATCTCTACCGCCTACGCAAATTTCTTCCGTCCAAAACTAAAGTTTTACTTGTGCAGTCCTTAATTCTTCCCTTGATCGATTATGGTGATGTATGCTATTCTGATCTGAATGCAGATCTACTCAACAAATATGACCGTCTTCTCAATAACTGCATTCGATTTGTTTTTAACCTTCGTAAGTATGACCATGTGTCTGCTTTTCGGTCTCAACTTAATTTGCTTCCCATTCGTCAACGCCGTTGTTTGCGCATGCTCACTACACTTCATTCCATATTAACCTCTCCCAATCCCCCTTCCTATTTGATTCCCTTTATCCAATATCTTTATTCCAATCATGACAGAACCCTTCGCTCCTCTAATAATCTCTTGCTTCAATGTCCCTCCTACAACTCTAGTTTTATGTACTCTTCTTTTCCCGTTCAATCCATTCTCCTTTGGAATGACCTTCCGTATGACACCAGGAAGACCACTGAACGTATTGCTTTTAAGAATAAGATAAAAAAACTATATCTAAGTAAGTTGGCAGAATAAAATAATCAGTAGTTGTTGATATCGTATATTATTTATTTATGTATATTAATTAAGTATTTGTGAATATTATAGTATATGTATTCTATTTTGCCGTGTGGTGTCGGCGTAAGAATAAGCCACCCCATCTCATCCCGTGGGTGTCGTAAGAGGCGACTAAGGGATAAGCCACAAACATCCAGTGGCCTCCGATAGATGGCGGGATAACCATCTTAATTCTCCAGACCCAAATATCCAGGCCAATAACGGGCAGCAGCGTTGAAGGTGCGAGGTGTCTGGAAGAACTGCGGTTGCCAACCCGCTCGCCAAGCGTGGCAACTATGGCAAAAACCCCTCATATATGGAAGTCCAAGGTGTACGGCCCCCAGTACCCGGCGGCCCTGCTATTCCTGGCTACGGTAGCGGTCAGCTGGACCTGGCAACATACAACGCAAGAACATTGAGGACTGACGAGAAGATTACAGAGCTGGAAGAAGAGGTGAACAGGCTGCGCTGGGATATAATAGGATTATCTGAAGTCCGAAGACAGGGGGAGGACACGATAATCCTCGAATCCGGCAACCTGTTTTACCACCGGGAGGGCGACCAACTGTCCCAAGGTGGTGTCGGATTTATCGTCCACAAGTCTCTCATTAACAACGTTGTTAAAATCGAGGGTGTGTCGTCGAGGGTTGCGTACCTTATACTCAGAATATCCAAACGGTATTCGCTGAAGGTCATACAGGTCTACGCACCAACGTTGACACATCCCGATGATGAGGTGGAGGCAATGTATGAGGATATATCACGCTATATAGGATAGCCATACATTCCTCCAAAACTCAATACATGGTGTTAATGGGAGACTTCAACGCAAAACTGGGCAAAAGGAAAGACGATGAGCTGAGAGTAGGAAGTTTTGGTATAGGGCAACGGAACCCAAGGGGGCAGCAGCTGGCTGACTTTATGGAGAAGGAGGGACTCTTTATGATGAACTCCTTCTTCAAAAAGCAGCCCCACAGAAAGTGGACCTGGATTAGCCCCGATGGTTCTGTAAAAAACGAGATAGACTTCATTATGACGAACAAACGGCAAATATTCAATGATGTCTCTGTGATCACAAGGGTGAAGACCGGCAGTGATCACCGATTGGTGAGAGGCACATTGAATATTAATATTAGGCTGGAAAGATCTCGTCTAATGAAGTCCACACTCCGACCATCTCCAGAACTCAGAAAGCTTTCGGCTCGAGCTACATAATCGCTTCCAATGCCTAGAAAATTGCAACACTGTGGACGATATTAACGCTAAGCTCGTGGAAACTGTCCATGCCGTGGGCCTTAAATTTTATAAGGCCCGCCGCACAAATAGAACGCAAAAACTCTCCGATCACACTCTTAACCTCTTAGGAAAAAGACGTGAGATGCGACTGCAGTCTTTAACTGATATGTCAGACTACAGGCGGCTTAATAGGCAGATCTCCAAATGCATGCGGCGAGACTTACGCATCTTCAATACAGCTCGTATTGAGGGAGCTATAGAGCGGAACCTAGGCTCAAAAGTCTTCGCCAGAGATCTGTCTATCGGACAAAGCCAACTGACTAAGTTGAAGACTGACAGCGGGGCTGTCATCTCCAGTAGACCAGAGGTTTTGAGTGAGATTGAGAGGTTCTATGGACAGCTGTACACATCGTCGTTGGAGCCACACACATGTGTGAGTTACGACCCAAGAGCAAAGCTTATCCGACACTATTCCGAGAATATCCCGGACGTCAGTCTGAGCGAGATTAGAATGGCTCTCAACCATCTTAAGAATGGCAAAGCATCGGGAGAGGACGGAGTTACAGCAGAGCTAAGGAAACCGGGTGGAGAACCGGTACTTGTAGTCCTTCAGAGGCTCTTTAATTTCGTCCTTCAGGGTGGTGCTACACCAGAGGCGTGGAGCAGAAGTGTGGTGGTGCTGTTCTTCAAGAAAGGCGATAACGCTCTCTTGAAGAACTATAGACCGATATCCCTTCTGAGCCGCGTCTATGTGCTGTTCTCAAGAGTCATCTTGAATCGTCTCGCTTCCAGACTCGACGACTTCCAGCCTCCCGAACAAGCCGGATTCCGGAAAGGCTTCAGTACCATAGACCACATACACACCTTGCGGCAGGTTATACAGAAGACCGAAGAGTATAATCTGCCTTTGTGCCTAGCGTATGTGGACTATGAGAAAGCCTTCGATTCTGTCGAAATTTGGGCGGTACTCCAGGCGCTTCAGCGGTGCCAAATTGACTGTCGGTATATCGAAGTGCTGAGGTGTTTGTATAACAAGGCTACGATGTCCGTCCAAGTACAGTCCAGTAGTACAAAACCTATCCATCTGCAGAAGGGTGTAAGACAGGGTGATGTCATATCCCCGAAACTCTTCACCGCTGCGTTGGAAGATGTTTTCAAGCTTCTGGACTGGAAAGGACGAGGTATTAACATCAATGGCGAATACATCACCCACCTTCGATTTGCCGACGATATAGTCATCATGGCAGAATCGCTGGAGGACCTGGGTGCTATGCTCAATGACCTCAACAGTGTCTCCCAACGGGTGGGCCTTAAGATGAACATGGACAAGACGAAGATCATGTCTAATGTCCATGTCACGCCTATACCGGTTGTTGTTGGGAGCACTGAGCTCGAAGTTGTTAACGAGTATGTTTACCTAGGACAGTTAGTCCGGCTAGGTAAGTCCAACTTCGACGCAGAGGTCAATCGGCGAATCCAACTCGGATGGGCAGCGTTCGGGAAACTTCGGCAAATCTTCTCGTCGAATATACCTCAATGTTTGAAGACTTAAAGTCTTCAATCAATGTGTGTTGCCAGTGATGACCTACGGAACCGAGACGTGGTCCTTCACTGCTGGCCGTATGAGGAAGCTCAAAGTCGCTCAGCGAGCTATGGAGCGGGCTATGCTCGGTATTTCTCTGCGTGATAGAGTTCGTAACGAAGACATCCGCAGTAGAACCAAGGTAACCGACATAGCTCAGAGGATTAGCAAGCTGAAGTGGCGATGGGCCGGCCATATAGCTCGTAGAACCGATAACCGTTGGGGAAGAAAGGTTCTTGAGTGGCAGCCTCGTACTGGCCATCGCAGTGTAGGACGACCCCCCACTAGATGACGACCTGTGCAAATGTGCGGAAAGTCGATGGATGCAGGTGGCTCAGGATCGTACTTCGTGGCAGTCTATGGGGGAGGCCTATGTTCAGCAGTGGACTCAAACAGGCTGAAATGATGATGATGATTCTATTTTGTATGCTTAAATAATGTAATATATTTTTGTTATATTGGGTTTAATATGTTTATATACTTTATATATTTTCATGTATATGTCTTAAATTTAAGTATATATGAATATATATATAACTTTTATTTTAAATTAAAATTTGGTTTGAAACTTTTTACACCTGCCTCTTTTGTCTCTGCGTCGCCCATAGGTTGACTGGTAGAGAATGCCTTAGGCATTAAGTCCGCCTATACACAATACTAATTTTTTTGTGTAAAAGTTTAAATAAATAAATAAATAAATAAAATAAATACTAGAGAACTGATAGTCATACTTAAACATACTTTTCTTTTGTAAATAAATACACATTATACATATATAAACACCCAGACAATAGAAAAACACTATGCTCATCACACAATATTTTTCCAGTAGTGGGGATCGAACCCACACCCTCTGACGCAGAAGGCAGGTACATTACCGACTACGTCATTCGGGTCGTCGTCGTCGATTAATTTCTATATTACATTACTCTGTTATATTTAACAAATATAAAAAGACCATAATTTGTTTGCGGTTATGGTGCAGCGGTGGAGTGAGTACTGGAGCGGCAATGGACTGCAGGCTGTGGTCGCTTGCTCGAGGGCGGAGCGCGTCGAATTGAGGGCCGCCGCTTTGCACGCGATGGCGACATTGACGCACTACGCGCAGTTGCGCCCGCAATTGCTGCAATGTAAGTAGAGTCGCGTGGAGTGGAGACCACGGCTCGGCGGGGGAAGTGTGAGGCCACTGGCCCAATGGTTTGATGAAATTAAGGAATGGGAAACGAATCAACAATCAAGTACGGACAAGGGAAACAATGAACGCACAAGATGGAAGAAAACTGGTGGGGCATATGCCCAACGGTGGGTTAACAGACTCTGAAGGAGAAGAAGAGAGTCCGTTATAACGAATTCCCAAGTGTTTAATTAATTATTGCAATTACAAAATGCAATCATGTGGTTTCCGCGAAATCGCTTTACGAAAAATAAAGATTCACTCGTTTCAAACTAGAGCAAAATCCATGTTGTAGGGGATTAAAATATGTTGAGTCTACTTAGCATATTTTAATGACATACTTTTTCGCTGTGGAATCAACATGTTAAAACTTCGGCGTGCTGTGGTGTATTCAAATAAAATCGATTAAAATAATGTTTCGTAAATCAATCGGCGATCTCTGGAGACAGTTTGACATTTTTTTATATTGCCTAAACTAAATCGTTCCCTCGAATCGACCCCCGTAAGGTGAAATAAATTAAGATCTTCTACTCAAAACGTGGCCTCTTTCGACCAAGCGAATTTGTGACTGATAATTATTAGTTAATAAAAAAAAGTCGTATAAGAAGTGTACATTTTTATCGGCATTCTCGATTTACCATAAATAAGCACAAACAATTACGAGCACATAATTGGCAATTTCACATTAATTTTTTTCCATTTATTAGCAATTCCGAATGAGTCACTATGCCAGTATGCGATGGGCGTATTCTTGAGGGTTGGCGAGGCGAATGTGGTTCGCTCAGCTGCCGCTGATCTCTTGGCCGCCGTGGCAGCTCGCACCTCATCTCACTCCGAGGTCAGTGCAATTTTTCGTATTCTTATGTTTACATTTATTCTTGCATTGCGAATCTATTTCAGGCAACGCAGAGCTAAACACTTACATGCACTACTAGCTAGTGACTCTTAAATAAACACTAGAATTAAATATTGGTTAAATTTAATCTCTTTATTTCAGGAATTATTTTTTAAATTATTTTTAAACTAAAAGAAATAAGTCATTAATATCTGCTTTATCTTATCAGTAGATTTGCCGAAGAAATTTCTTTTTACTAACGTAGATCCGAAGCCCAACTGTACTGTACATTTATGAAAGCTTAAATATCTCCTACTAATGTGTGTAAATATTACATTGTAGCGGTAATATAAGGTTCTAAATATTATATAACATTAGAGTTGTTAATAATTCTATAAAAGTTAATCCAAACAACTGAACAAAATATCGATCGTTGTTATTTGCTGACTTGGGGATACAACGGAACGGAATAATAAGCAGTATCGAGTTGCGAATGATAATGAACGCGTGACGCATTTCGTCGGTCCCATTAAGCTATAAATAAAAATACAGGTAGCATTTAATAGGGTATCGAGATCATATAGGCGTTTTACTGTAGTCAATATACTTGCTCAACAAACATTGACGTTAAATTGTAAACTGAGTACGTTATATTAAAGATAGTTTTAAAAATTGTACCCATTTCAGCCAGCAATTAAATATATTTATATAAAGGGTGCGATAACAAAACTAAGCTAAGATATGGCTAAGTTAGGGAGATAGTATGTTTATATACTTGTCAAGTATATAATCAAAGGAGATATATATGGCCAAATATGCATTTGAATTTTTACATTTTATTAAAATATAAACTTATTAAAAAAACTAACTAAAACTTAAGTATAATAGGACAAGAATGATCAAAGGTTTTAAAAACATGAAAATAAGTTTATTTTCATGTTGTTATAAAACCGTAGATTCATTCCGACATGCTTTGATGTTTGAAACATTATATGTTTGACCGATTAAGAGATGGCTTGAGCCCATATAGGGACGTGTTGTGGCTAACTACAAATTGCTGCAACCACTGTATTCGTGACAGTAATACTAAAATCCTAATACAATATTCTTCGTGTATTATTTTACGTAATTGTTTTTATTTTAACTATTGATCATTGTCTTGTTGTCATAGTGATTTTAAGTTTGGTTATTTTGAATTTCTGAAATTTTATTTTGCTTACATCACGTTTTTTATTCAAAGTATGTGATGTAAACAAGTTCTTTTTATTTTAATGCAACTATTTATAAAGAGGACTTCGGTTTCATTTTAAATTAATGATATACAGCGTGTCGTTACCATCGCGACAATAAATGAACACACATATAGGGGATAACTTTTTAAAGTTGTATTAAACATTTAAATTCTTAAAACATCAATATTTACAGAGTTATTAAATTTTTCAAAACAAAGAATTTTAGAACATCCTTACCTATAAAAGCGTTACGTAAAGTTCATTTGTAAAGGTCACAAAGCATATGAATGGGTTGAATGAATTTAAAAGAGACAAAACATACTGTTAGAAGGAGAGGCTTGTAATATGATGCTGTGCGCGAGTTGTATAGGGTGTTACAAATTTTGTTTCTTTTTTACTTAATTAGTTTGTTTGAAAAATATTTTTTTTTAATTATGGATTTTGTTTAACGTTAATATTTTTTTATGATTATTGGCAAGTAGCCATAGACGTGTGTTCATTTATTGTCGCGATGGTAACGACACGCTGTATAAATAATGATGTCTTGTGTTTACGCGAATACTATAACATTGATAAATGAATGAAGTTGTAGATGGTAGATTAAAACATAAAAATAAACAGTAAAACATCTTAATCTGTCCCGTGACCATGCGAAAAGTCGGGAATTTTTATTAAACTGTAAAAATAATTCAGTAAATTTGATGTTAACATCTTGTCCGAGTGAATACAAGAAATTAAGCTCTCTTTATTGCTTGAATGTATTTTTTTTATGGAGAAAAGGTGCAAACGAGCTTGAAGCTCTCCTGATGGTAAGTGATTACCGCCGCCCATGAACGCCTGCAACAACCGAGGGCTTACAAATGCGTTGCTGGCCTTATAGGAAAGAGTATGGTTCGGAAAGACCGCCGGCGGCAGCTGGTTCCACAGAGTGCTTGTGCGAGGCTGGAAATGCCTTTCAATTCCAACTTCTCAAGACTTCTAACTCAACCAGAATAGGCGAATGCAGTACGATGAACCAGATTAATTGTTCAGTCCCCATTTTACCTTAGGTTTTAATTACCATATTACATTAGGTTTTAATTAATTTGTGAAGAACATGGTCCTACAGTCCGCAACGACCTTTCGTTTGACGGGAGCCCACGCATGTAATACTATGTGTGCAGCTATGCGCTTGCTTATATTAAATGATACAAGTATAATTTTTAACAAAAAAACCGACTTTATCAGAAAATATGTTTTTTAATACCTATAACATTCAATGATGGCCCTCGATTTCTCTGGGATGCCATCATCAGATCCGGGTTTCCTTATCATAGTACCACCCTTGGGATATCTCCTTTCCAACAAAAAAAGAATCATAAAAATCGGTTCATAAGCGACGAAGTTATCCACGAACACACAAAAAAAAATATATGTACGGTCGAATTGAGACACGTCTTCCTTTTTTGAAGTCGGTTAAAAAGAAATTCTATTGACAGCACCATAATATTCCAGATTGCTGCTTCAATCAACATATTTAAAGAAAATTCCTCCGTCGGCCAAAATAGCGTTGATAAAATAAAATAAGTTAGATTCATAAATTATGAATTGTGTTTCGTGTTCTCTTGCTTTAAAAAAACCATACTTTAATTTTGCACCTTGGTATTAGTTGACGGGACTTTCACTGGCAGATTGTGGTGGTAGGGCCACGCAGCAGCCTCGGCTGTTGCACGAATGGGCAGGCCCGTTCGGGTAAGTATCACGACCTCACAGAAGACCAGCGTAAAGTGGAAGTATGACAAATACTTTCGCGTTTCGTATGGTTAGTGAGGTAGCCTGAACCCAATTTTCAAAAGGTTGTCAACGCATCTGTAACTCTTGGGTGTCCCAGCAGTTGTCCATTGGCGGCGGTATTCACTTAACATCAGGTGAACCGTCTGCTCGTTTGGCAACTATTCCATTAAAAAAAAATTAAAAAACCTTCTGTAATTAAACGCAGTTAAAAACTTAGCAACATCAAATACCGGTCCTGAGAAAGGACATAAGAGTAATGTAAGATCTTCTAGGAACGGGCGCATCGTTGAACAAAGATTAGTCGGTAGTCTACGGACTAAGTGACCAGGGTGGGAAAATTTTATTATTTTGGGGAGAGTTTTCAAGCCAATGTCCAGGCTTCAGTCAGGAATTATTAAAGCTGCCAGATAATTGTAATGTCGATAAGTAGGATAATTCGATATTCGACAATGAATTATAATAATTTTTACAAACTATTGCTTTAACAATTATTAGTTAGTAATTTTCTGTGATCTCAAGTATTTTTTAATCGAGCGCACCGATTAAATGCGTGTTCGACGTAAGCACGATTATAAACGCATTTAAGAGACGTTTTTTTCTGCTCACACCGTGACTCATTTTGTTTTTCCTCATAACTTTGCAGCACTTTGTCTCTATCCAACTTTCAATGTGCTTGATATGAAACTAGTTTGTGATTTAGAATATACTTTTCTTGCGAGGACCTAAATTGGCAGTTACAAACATTGCAACTTTGTTGCCGACTCCCGATTTTCAATTCAGGTTGGTGGACTGTAGAGAATTTAGGAGCTTCCTCACGGATCCTTTACAGATATTTATTTTTAACGATATCATGTACAAGACTCGTACGAAAAAATGTGTATAAAACTGTTTGGTGAATTTTTCATTTCTTCTTCGTATCACTTAACTTAGCGGTCGTGGTTAATAGACATCACATATTATTATATGTATTTTATTTTTGAGTTGTAATTTGCCTCAGGAAAGAACCTCCATCAGCTGTTTGATACACAAAAAATTTTTCATTGAAGTGTATAATTTATGAATAATCCGAGATATAAAATACGTGTATCTGTGAACGTAAGAATGCCTTTTGATAGTGATGTTAAATAAGTACGTGCTTCGCTGATACTGTCTTGCACGATCATCATCGATGAAAAATTCGGACTATTTTTAAGATAACAATAATACTTTACAGCTGTTGACGTATGGCTAAACATCTATTTACAATCTTATATTTAGTTAATCTTGCAAGTTAATTTGACCCACTTCCCTGAGTCCAATTGGGCTGAAATTTGGCACACTCGTTTCGTACTCGTGACAATGCACGATTACCTAAACGCCGCAATTTTAATCCAATATGGTGGTTTCCGCAAAATGGCAATTTATAATTTCCACAATCTCCTATTCCAAAATCCTATGGGTATCAAATGAAAGGGTTTGTTTTTTATTATTAAAGGATTCTCTTTGAAAAACATTACAAACAAGAATACATGATATCTTGTAGAGTCAGAGAGAGAACATGTAAACATAATTTGTAAAGAATATTATGAATTCATAACATAATTTATTTAACATTATGTCCTATTTACACTTTAAGTTTCCGGAGTTTAATATTGCTCGTTCACGTGCAACGTATTATTTGTATATTCAGAAATTGAGAGTATTATAGACCAAATTTTGTTGTTTTGATACCTATACACCTGATGTTTAACTAGCAGCTCTTGTGTAAATAATATTTGTTTCCTTTCGAACCTTTCTGGTCATACATCAAACAAATTTTCCTATAACAAGGCACATTTAGTGCTCACTATTATGTAGGTACACAAAGTACGTCAAAGTCATACTATAAAATTAACTCTGATCAAATTCTTAGTATTATTAACATTAAAAATTATTAATATTTGCGGGTTATATTACTACAAATTTTTAAATGAGCGTTTATAGAAAAAGATGTTATGCGCATTCAATCTTCGTAGGATGAATGACCTATTGTCTTGAATATAACAAGCACCAAATACGTAAGCAACTCTACCTACCGCATTGCAATTCATTTATAGTTAACGAAGACTTTCTTAATAAAAATAGTAGTTTTATACATTATTATTACGCAAAAAATATTGAAAACCACAATTCACTTTACGTTCCTCTTGTTCGGGGATGACGGAACCTATTGTACCAATTTATAATAACAGCACATTACTTACCAATAAACCTATGTTTATTGGCAAGTATGTGCTATAATAATAAAAACATAAATAATAATCTGGTTAGCGGTGGATTCTCGCGAAATTCGAATCGCATGGAAGTCGAACGGTGCGTGTTAAAGATTAAAAAGAATGTTTTCGACGGTTGCGATCCTGGCCTCAGGAATGCGTTGTTTGTTTTTTTATTATATATTCTCGTTATGGAACACAATGGCCTGCGTGAGCGTTAGACCGCAGAATGAAGTTGCATTCGCGGTCGCGCCTCTATAATTAAATAGATAAAATTAAGTTTTTCGTGTAATATGCAGTAATAGTAAATGTTGTTTTTTCTGAAATTGAAGAATATCAATCCATTGTATTACGTTCGTACAGTTCACACATCGTGACATGCTTTCAAAACGACTGTGGATTTAATAACGGAACGTGTTAATGTGTTTGAAATTCGTCGGCCGTTGGTTTAGGCGAGCCCTATAGAGAGAAGGCTGCGTAATTGGTGTAATGCGGGTGCATTCGGGCGGCGGCGCCGTCGCATCAACAATCACGGCCTTTCTGCGTCAGAGCTTATCTCGAGCTGGCCCGCCGCGATACCGATACGGTTCACTTGAGTGCCGGCCGCCGCCCGCGTTCCCGCGGACCCACCAGCGTCGCGCGCGCTCTTGTTTACCTCACACTAGTGCGGCCGCTGTGCGACAACGCTCGCGTGCTAACAAATCACGGCTAAACGCGCTAACGATTTGAATAGGTGACCATGTCGTTAAGTGTTATATTCGCCGTCGTGCTCCTTCTATTGCTCGTCGCCCTAACGATTTTTCATTACGTCTCGAAGGGAAGAAAGTATTGGCTGCACAGGAAAGTGCCTTACCGGGAGCCGTGCCCGATCTTCGGCAACTTCGGCGCCACGCTCACTATGCGGCGCAGCTACACGAATATGCTGCAGTACTTCTACGACACGTTTCGCGACGGGAAGTACGTGGGTATATTTCAAGCGAGGCGGCCGACGCTGCTCGTGATCGATTTGGACATCATCAAGAACATTTTCATAAAGGACTTCGCCTGCTTCAGCGATCGGATATCGGTGTCGACGGACACCCAGCGGGAGCCGTTGCTGAGGAATCTGGCGAACATGAGCGGAGCCGAGTGGAAAGCTATGCGGCACATAGTTACACCGACCTTCTCTTCGGCTAAAATGAAAGCAATGTTCCCTCTCGTCTTAGACTGCGCGAGCGCTCTGAAAATAGCCCTTTCTCATGAATCCCTGGACGAGGTCGACGTTCCGAAGCTAATGTCTCGATTCACGACGGACGTGATCGGCAGCTGCGCTTTCGGCGTGGACCCCGGTTCCTTGAAAAACCCCGACTCACCTTTCCTCGCGATGTCGCAGAAAATGTTTAGGGCAGATCGCGCAACTGTGCTGAAGCGTTACTGCCGGACGTTTTTCCCTAGGCTATTCAAACTGTTGAATCTCAGAACGTACTCTTGGGAAGTGGAAATGTTTTTCACAAACATCATCAATCAGGTCCTCGACGAAAGGCGGAATATGGGTGTGCAAAGAAACGATTTTATTCAACTTATGTTAAATGTGCAGAAGCAGGAGACAGATTTTGTTATGACGGATGAGTTGATAATATCCAACTCTTTTATATTCATGCTCGCCGGGCTCGAAACGTCGGCGACCACTTTGTCCTTTTGCTTATATCAGCTGGCAAGGGACCCAGAGTTGCAGGAAAAAGTTCGTCAAGAAGTGTTGGTTTGTACGCAGCGGTACGGTGGACTGAATTACGAGGCGGTGTGCGCCATGCGTTTGGTTGTCCAAACTGCTATGGAGACGTTGCGTCTCCATCCCCCCACGCCCCTCACAACCCGTCTGTGCACCTCGCCATGCACTCTATCGAGCACCGATTTAAAAGTGAAAGTCAAAGATGCGGTTCTAATACCGCTGCATTGTATACAAAACGACCCGAGATACTTTCCGGACCCCGATAAATTCGACCCGGATCGGTTTAAGGAAGACTTCAATCCGCCCGGCTTTATCGCTTTCGGTGAAGGGCCCAGGAGTTGTCCAGGTAAGTGGTGTTAACAGTTTTTATTTGCGTATTATACCATCTTGGTAATTTCCGGGTTCTATTCCCAAACGGCCCGAAACTTTGAGTATTCCAAAGTCATTTGTTCTGAGTCTAAATGTAGGATGTGTCCCTAAAATTGGCCGTGGGTTCGATTCTTCGCGGGACCAGTATTTTTGTGACCCACCAGATAATTGTTCAGAATCTAGGTCGGTAGATGAAAAAGCTATGCAATACCACAAACAACATAATTCGCATATTGTGCTGACCCCACATAGGAATAATGATAGCAGGCAGATTGTGATAATTATGATTTCTATTGCAAAATTAATGTTAATAAAATTAATAAGCTCGGTGAAATTAATACCATGCAACATCAAATATGCAGCTTGTGTCTTGTATACTGATGAGCAAATAATGTTAGGCTTCAAATGTGATGAAATCTTAATAAAATACAGCAAACGAGCTAAATTTATAAAACAAACGACATAAATAAGGCCGATTTCCAATGCTTGCTTAAAGCAAATCCAATCCGTCGACATAAACAAACTCATTCAACGAGCAAAGACAAAGCGTAATTTTAAATTTATTATTTAAACATTGATCGCACATTGACTGCAAAAACTGTCTGCGTGAATATTCCCATCGCTGAATAGGTACAACGTCGATGTCTATTAAATTCAAGATAAATGTGGGGCCAGACCTAGCAATGGAAGAATATTTATGGTCCTAATTGCGATATATTTCGTTCATAGTTAAAACATGTATGTACATACATATTCGACGTACTTATAAAAAAAGTGGGCCACTTTAACTTTTTCGTCATTTTTAGCCATAACGAGCTAAACAACGATAGCTCTAGTGCTTAATCATTTTTCATGGAGTCCTTATGCGTGGGTGACAAGCATATCGTTAAATACTGGCCGCAGAAAAAGTGGCAATTTTTTGCATATATAAAGAATTTGAAACTTGAATGGTTATACATAGTTAGATTAACGCTAATGGAATTTCTAAACTGGACCGCGAATCGAACTTTTAACCAATATATGCATCTATATATATATATCGGATCGTATTATGCCAAATCTTGAGTGACTATTTCTGAAATGTGAACCTCGTGGGTTCGTCCTTATGACCGTAACAACACCCTCATCTCCTCTTTTCAATTCAAAGTCAAAATTGTTCAATTTTAAAGCTTGGTTTACATATTAATAACTTATTTACATTCTAGGTGCGCGTTTCGCGCAGTTGATCGTGGCAGCGGGGCTGGCTTCGGTTCTCAGCGGGTACTCGGTCGAACCTTGCAGTAGGACCACACCACGGATCCACTACGATCCGCGTAGCGTTATGCTCAAAAACAAAGGTGGCATCTGGCTGAAGTTCAAAGTGCTCCAACTCTGAATGCCGATGGTTGCATATCATTTTATCGTTTTCGTTCGCAGCAGTTAAATAGTGACAAAATGTTAATAATGTATTTAAAGGCTGGATGTAAACGAATAATTTTATGTATCTTAACTTAACACGAATGCTGGAGAATGTATCCGTTGTTGACACAATGCACTCCGTGTTATGGCGGAAGGTAAAAGTTGTAGCATGATTTGTTAAACATTGTGGTTTGGAACGTAAATAGTAATTGTTATTTAAGAATTGAATACAAATTCATTTTCATTTCCGGTTTTTGTGCAAGTTAAATGTGATACAGAAATACATCTGGTATAATAAAAGTACCCGTTGATAAGTTTTGACGTCATCAGTATTATGAATAATCTTATACAATTATAAAAGGTATTACCAAAAATTTTATCTATTTATTCTTTATATCTTTTATGTACATAATTATCCTTGTAGTTAGGATTATCCTTGTATTTCTCATGTATTATACAAAATGATCAATGTGAAACATTAATATATGGATTGATGTATGTTTGTGTTATTTATATCTACCTAGTTAAGCAAAAATCAGGAGTGTAATGTGTTGGAAAGGAAGTATGTTGCTCTTAACCTTGTCGGAAATTGCTCATCGTAATGTGCTGGTTTTTGCGTTTTAATAACGTGGTGTAAGAAAAAAAGTTCGACATCAGATGACATGCCATAATAACGGTAAATCAGTGTACTTTTGAGCCGAATATATGACGACAAACTGATAACTTGTTTTTTGACAAATACCCAGTCTCGATGGACATTTATCAAATTTTACATCTATTACACTATCTAATAAATTACCCTTCTAATTTCTTACGAAACGATATAACTTTCTACAGAAACAAGATTACTTTCGTGTTACTATTTACTGTATTTACCATACTATAATACATTTGGTTTATAGATTATAGGAATTAAAAAAATCTTCATAATGCAAGTAGGTATTTTCAAGATAAAGTGTTCACGAAAAACAACTACGCACATTCGCGCACAGTCGAGCGTGTTATTGTTCACTAAGTGAATATTTTTTTACTACTTGTATTTGTCTTACTCGCACTTAGCGTACATGAGTGTATAAAAAATAATATTATGCAGCGTTAATAAGCACCGGTGAATCAACACTTTTGTGAGTTATGTAAATACAATTCTTATTTATTGTAACAGATTCGTCTTCTGTAAATCTCACACCAAAACAGACACGAATTTATTACGTATTTCAAATGCGTTTGCTTGTACGTATGATAAGTCTTAACAGACATACAGTTTTGACTGTCAATATATTGTGAGTTAATCATGGAAACAGGCATGGACTTGAGCCTTTATTTCTTCTATTTACGCGAATACTATACATTGTTAAATAAAAGTAATATAAGCATTTACTGCGTTTTTTATTTTAATTCTCGACGTTCCAGTCACTTTACGTATATCTATACTATACTTTGAATCATATGAAAACTTCAAAATGAATATTGTATTTTGTTCTCAAAGTGTGAAGATATTATTTTATTATATTTAGACGAGCTTTTAAACGTGAAGAAAACGTAAAACCTGAAGTTAAACGTCCGTTTACTTACTTTTCTACTGAAAAATGTGGTAGAGATCTAGTCAATTCCAAATTAGATAGGTTAGGTTGATATTGAAAGTTAGGTGTATGTTTTAAATAGAGTTTAAAAATGTATTCCTAGCAGTCAATCACTATTACAATAATCAATTTAGAAATTTATCTAACGAAATCTGTTGATTACTCTCTACTGGGTAATTTCAGTTATCCTTATCGATAGTCACTTGTATCTTGTATTAACTGATGTTTTTGCTTTCAGTCCCGACACTATTAAAGCTTCATCGGACGCAGAACCGGTGGGCTAGCCAGAACCCACGGGTTTGGACCCTCCGCTATGGGTAGGGTCGCGCATGTGCTCATGCGTGCGTTTAATTATGGTGTGTCATCTAAGGGCCGTCGAAGTCACGGTTCGGACCGAGACCCCGACGGCCGTCGACTGTGCATTTAGCTAATCGGTGGCTGGGAGCGGTGAAAACCGCCCCGGAACGCGGGTGTACCTTGTGTTTATCGATAGTGCTCTCCGATAACCTGATAGAACTGTGATGCCACTTGTTCACTGACCGTAATGCAATGTCAAAGTTATCATCACCATTCGCATAATATCTGCCGTAATAATGCGTTGCAAATGTTTTTCATATAAAAAAATTGCGTTTATGTAAAATAAATGTATTACAAAACAAATCTCCATATGTTTTAAAGAATTGGTTATGAACTTTAAAAAGTCTGTTTAAACTTTATCTGGCTTTGCGTCTCGATGTATGATAATATTTATTTGCCATTTTTAACTCAACATAAATCAATATAACAATTATCAGACAGTTGAAAATAAACAATAACTCCGCGAAAGATTGCTTTGTACACAAAGTGCGTTTAAAATTTGCACTGCCTTAATCTTATAAAATTAAATTTTATTTAAATTTCGGTATTGTCTAATAAGTTTACTACTTTAACAAAGTCAAAGTCGGATTTTTGTCAGCTGTGTTACCGTTTATATATAATCGTTATATTTTACTACGTAAGCCATCTCTGTTCTAGATTCTCACTTTCGTACGGTCGATTTACATGACGTAATAAATACCAGTGAAAGAGGTCATCGAACCAACATGCCAACACTTAGTAGGGATAAAAATTAGAGCACTATGCTATTAAATCTAATGCCCCATTCAAGAACATGTTTTTGGCAGAAAAGATAAGAACAAAGAGGTTTAATAAAGCTTGATTTGGCGCTAAAACGCGTGTTTTGAATTCATTTTCTCAAGACATGTAGTGCTACCTTTTCATCAAAATATTTTCTGTTATGGATGTCGATATCATCATATTTTTTTTATTTTATGAACACGCATCTTGTTTCCGTATATTTCAGGAAACATATGGTAAATATTGTGTATGCTGATTGCATTTCTATCAATCCAAATATTTAATGACTGCTCTTGGAAGGCTTTTCAGACATGTTTTATTGCGAAGCCACCACTTGAAAATGCTAACTAATTGCTACGTAAGCTCTCATCGAAGTCGCTGAGTGCCGACGTTAGACTAAAACATGATCACTTGAATAAATATTGTTTAGTAATATTTTATTTTCTTTATTCTTTATCCTTCGTTTCTTTGATAGTTTTTCGTATACGATAGACGGCAGAAGCCTTTTACCTTCCTAAATGGCCGATTGAAAAACAGCCAAAGAGATCGAATGCAAGACTTGTATCGACGAAACCTATCTTTTAGCCAGTTGCTAATAAGTAGTTTAAGCCATTATTACATCATCTCAAAGCATACTAAGCTACTGCATTGTTTTAGGTTTATGAAAATGAAATTATAGAACACTTCAGAGGAATAAACTTCGTGGAGAGCTGTTTACAAATATTGGTAGAATTTTGCAACGAAAAAAAGTATCAAACCTTTCTCCGTAAGTATCGCTTAAACGTACTGTAAGAGATGAGTTACTTAGATTTATATTAAATATGTATACAGCTCGGGGGAAAATGTAAAGGAGATAAGATATGGCAATATGCGCATTTAAGATAGTGTTTGCTGGTAAAGGAACTTCTTAAAACTTGTCTTTCAATTGTATATGTTACTGGCCAAACCTGATTGATATCAGGATTGATATCAGCCTGATGACTGAACTAGTTAGTCCTAGGCTAAATCGGTTTATTTTATGCTTTATACTAGTTACGCTAGTATAGACAATTTATTTTAGCGTAAACATTTTAAGATTTACTAGTTTTGCCTAGACTCAATCGAATAAATTTATGGTTGAAAATAAAGGCAATTTTTGGATGAACAATGTTTATTCAATGTACAGTCCATTTAATCATAATCAAGTTTAAAATGAACTAATTTGTAATTTATGTGTAATGTAACATAATATTATACTTTATTTATTTTACAGGTTGATCTATCGTGACGAAACGCAGAAGTATGACACAGGACACTTCCAATTCACGTCGTCTTCTGTGTGGTCATGGTACTTAACCGGACAGACCTGCTCTGAGTACAAAGGTCAAATTCCGTTCTGTAACAAAAAATAGTCTATTTTCACCAAATCACAATACTTTAGGTTCTTTTAGACAAAAAAAAAAAAGCTTTTACAAAAACAGTCGAATAATTTTATGTCATGTCGAATATAGTCAGATTTGATAGTGAAATAGAGGAACACGGTCATTAAAAAGATATTCCGATTTTATATATCTTGAATATTCTTTATGATGTCTGGTGGTACGAGAATAAGGGCTAGGCCTGTAACTTGGCAATGCTTTTATGTTACATATGGTGAACATATTATCCTTTAGAGTGAATGTGGGACCTCATCAATATCAGATATGCTTTGTTTAATCCCATGATACTTTCCAGAACCGAACTTACCACTTTCGGTATTGGAACGTCGGTCCGAGTTTGAAGTGCGAGCCCATAAAACTGGAGATGTGCAATTGTCTCCAGCAGTTGAGACAGTCCTGCCGCCGCCAACTGCGGGCCTTGTGACAGCCTTAGCGGACGTCCTAAATAATGTCAGCGCCTTTAAAAGTTGCCCCGTAGAGTCATGGAACGATCAGGGCGTATACAGAGTCCTCTTAAGGTAAGGATGGTTATCGCGTACTTTGCTACCGTGTAAGTTAAAACACGTTAAAAAGCTGTCGAAGACCATTAAAGTATTAAAGAGTTACTATTAAGACTCAATTAGAGAAATAAATAAGCGTTATTCCGAACATATCTGGGTTTACATTGCTTTACGGGAGCAAAAGGAAGCAGCTCCGCAACCTGAGAGTATATGACTCGGAGATAACTCAGAGTCCCGTTGAGTTTCTTTTGCCGATTTTTCACAGGTCAGTAGCTTTTCTTTTCCGAACCGGCGGTAGTGTTTTGAGAATCAATAAGTAAGTGTAATGCTTCTATATTGAATAAAGATATTTGAATTTGAATAAATATTGTAAGTATATCAACCTTTGTAATTAATTGACAACCGAGTGCGGGTGCCAATATTTATCTTTTCGGAAAATGTATAATTTAATGAGATTACGTAATTTTGCAAAACTTAATCACTATACATAAATGTTCTGTAGAAATATATGTGTTGTGGTAGAGCCACGCTACAGCGTCTGCTGTTGCACCGAAATATAACAGTCTCCTAAGGCTAACATGAAGTGTAAGCATTATTACACTTCATGTTTATTACTCTTCTAAAGTTGGCATCCCATCGGGTGTTGCAAATGTCTATGGGCAGTAATAACCACTAAACATCAGGTGTACCGTATGCTCGCTTGCAGTCTTTTTACTTAAAATACATATTACATGTTCAAAATAAGCACCGCTACTGTGACCTTTATAGGCGCGATGCCAATGTCACCGTCATTATGTACCGCTCATGACCACATCCAGTGTTACTTTACCTCCAAAAGGTAAAGAAGTAGAAGTTAATGACACGCAATTTAGTCGGCGGATCTTACTTCCTCAATGTAAGAATTGTTTGACGTGCTTTACCGTGTGTAACATGAAATTGATTCTGGTTGAATTTCTCCAACAATGTGCAAGACATGAATTATTTCATGGATAGTAATCATTATGTAATTAATGATGTCCATATTACGATTTTATTGTTTAGGCTTACATATCACTGTTCTAAAAGTGTGATGAAACGAACTGTAGTACAAACAGTAGTTCTTTTTCAATACATCCAAAGGTTGCCTGGAAGAAATTACTCTTAGTAATAAGGCTGCCCATTGTACCCATTACTTCTACATTAAGTTTTAATTTTTGTTTGTTTTATTTTTGGTGTGCAATAAAGTATATTCATTCATTCATTCATTAAAACAGTCACCTAGGCAGTGAAGGCGTAACCAAATAAGTTTTAACTTTTTTCAGTAGTTTTTATGATTTTTTATGTCAGAAGGTGGCAAACGAGCTGGCGGTTCACCTGTTAAATAAAAATCGACGCCCATTGACATTTACAACACCCGTAAGGTTGCAGACGCGTTGCCACTTTTTAATAAAATTGGCCCCGGCTACCTCGCTCACCAGACGAAACGCAGAAGTGTAACATTTCTACGCACGCCGGTCTTCTGTGAGGTCATGGTACTCACCCGGACGGACCTGCCCATTCGTGCAACAGCGAACACTGTTCCCACCTACCACTTTGTTAAATTTGTTATGATGGAAATGACTTAATTAGTTTTCAACATAATTCCGTATTATACGTCACAGATGTGCCTCGTGGCGGTGCGACGATAATGCGGAGAGCAACCGAGTGCGTGCGGCGACGTGTCGGGCGCTCGAGGCCGCTGCAACGCGCAAGTGCGTGCGCGCTTCTCTCGCCGCCACTAAGGATTGCCTCGTCAACTTGCTCCACGTCTTGACGTCAGACGAACAAGGTAGCGTAAGCCCAACTTTATAAAGGTTGTCAACGCATCTGTAACCCTCGGGTGTAGCAGATGTCCATGGGTGGCGGTATGCACTTACCATCAGGTGAACCGTCTGCTCGTTTGGCAATTTTTCACATAAAAAAAAAAAACAAAAAAAGCGTAACAAGTGATTTTCACTTAGATTAAGTAAGGTTTAAGTAACGTAACTTTTAAAGTATTATTACAGTCGTGTGCATGTTTAAGATGTATGGCGACTTGTTTTGGATAATATGACCAATATATCCCAAAAAGTATCGTGAATGAAATCTTATCGTAGGCCTAGTACACGCGTGAAGGGGAAGTTTGTGCGTCCTTTGTTTGTACATCGTGTTTAATGTACGGTGTGCGCTCTCGCAAGCTTATGATATATAAAAATGTATGTTTAAACAATAGTAGAGGGACTGAACAAAGTGTTTTGTCTGGGTCTTATCCATTATCAAGAAGCGTTGTCAGTCGTTTTCGCTACCCCAAGATGCACGGAAAATGATAAGGATATTTTTATATTTAATCTTTTTAATCTCGACGATTGTTTCATGAGACCTTCAGCGTGTTGACTATCATTTTCAAATAGAGCTATGGAACCTTTGAAGTAATCAAAGCTATTTTACGGCTATAACTGTTATCCGGAGTTCACGGACATTACTAATCAAATTACACGTAATTGTTCCGATAAAATTGTTTTATTATTGTTTTATATCTAAATGCGACTAAAGCGTAACTGCGAAATACCTTTGCCACAAGATAAGATAAAATTCACGAAAAAGGAATTCGTCGACTGATATCGATTGATTGCTTTGACCTTTTTCATTATGTCACAATCGTTATCTGCGCCAAAATCGTATTCGTCATTCCGTACTTATATAGATTTATATTAGAACATTTCTTGGTACCCAAATCCTTACATGATAAGACGACTCATTCGATGCGGGGTACAAAAGAAACGAAATATACTAAATATTATCTTTAGTAAGTTAATAAAGCCAAAAATTGCTTTATTTTAACTTACTAAAGATATTTAAAGTTTTTTATAGTGTTAATCTCTGCACGTAAGATTAACTTTTAATTTTAAATTATATTTCTAAAAAGCAATGGCGACATCTCTCGTTCGAAGCTATCGTTGTAAAATGATATTCGAAATTGTTTGTATGCCGGAAAGGATAACAATAGATGCCCCAAGCATTGCTTCAAATGCTTAATAACAATGTAGATAAAAGACGTTAAGATTTTCGTCGGTGTGGCAATCAGCCGTTTAGCTTAGTGGCTAAAGCGTCAGGCCGCGAATGCCGAAGACGTGGATTCGATTCTCACAGCGGCGACAATCTTTTCGTACTTTTTCTACAAGTTTTAATACTAAAGATATGACATATTTTTATTACACAAGCTGGTTTGCTATATGTATGAAAATTGATCGGGATCTGGGTGTTGGTTTCCAAGGACAAGGCTTGACGTCAGGCGGGCGGCTAGTACAAATCCTAGCGAAAACCACTTACAACATAATTCTCATATGCCGTCCCCACCTAAGTAAAGGGCCGGAGGATGATGATTAACTTAACGTATCACCTTCCAGTTGACGGTGATGAAACTTCAGCTCGTGCGCAAACCTTCCAGCTCTTCGCCTGCTTGCTCTCCGAGCGGTCGGCTATCGACAGCGTTTGGTCTGAGCTACGACGAACGAGCTACGAGAGATCTGAGCTACGAGAAAGAGAAGCAACCCCGTTCTTCCATTTGTTGACGCGCTCCCTTGAGAGTGCCGACGATGGTCAGTTTTGCCTAAATTAATTTGGCATAAATACAGCGTGTCGTTACCATCGCGACAATAAATGAACACACGACTAACGCTACTTGCCCAAAATCATAAAAAAATATTAACGTTAAATAAATCCATAATTAAAAAATTTTTTTTTCAAACAAACTAATTAAGTAAAAATGAAACAACATTTGTAACATCCTATACAACTACAACTGACTGATTAATACATTCAGAGATTTTTTCATTCCCTGCCACAGTGTAGCATTGCTAGCCTCTCCTTCTAATAGTATGTTTTGTCTCTTTTAAATTCATTCAACCCATTCATATGCTTTGTGAACTTTACAAATGAACTTTACGTTACAGTTTTATACGTAAGGGTGTTCTAAAATTGTATGTTTTGGAAAATTTAATAATTCGGTAAATATTGATGTTTATAGAATGTAAATGCTTAATATAATTTTAAAAAGTTATCCTCTATATGTGTGTTCATTTATTGTTCGATTGTAAAGACACGCTGTATATCAATGATAGCATATTTGGATTTCATTAGCAACTGATTAAATGGTCATCGACAAGTTGCAATTGTTCGGAATATTTCTGAATATGTTCAAACGATAACAAATAACTGGCGTGCATTTTTTTTGTGCTAGTCTACACTCAAGATGAGTACTTTAAATGTGACTTTAAAAGAAAAGCTTTCGGTGCTATCAGGGTTCGACTCTGCGTCTTCTGAGTAACGCTGTACCTAACCAACTCAGCTTATAACCCCCGATATCCCCCAACAACAACATTTATATCTACTTTATTGCCTTATAAAAATGTGTATAAAAAGTTAATTTGCTAGATAAGTAAATAATATGTTTTATGTGTATTGTATGTAATTTTTTCCGGATGAATCTTATTTTTTTAGATAAATATCCTACACCCGCTATGCCATCGCATGCATATCGCTAACTTGCGGTCTAAAAAAAGTTAAATTTGAAAGAAGTTGTTTTGATTATTATGCCTTTTCACACTTCATCATGAAAACGGAACAAAATATATCCATAAAGACTTAACTTATCAAAGGTATAAATGTAATTGTTTTTTATAAATATATTTGCAATTTTATTCTATATTCAATAGTATAACAAATTTGAACGAAACATTTAACTGGTTAGTTAGTATTTTTCCTTCCAGTTGATTCATATACCTTATAACATGGATTTTAAAAGCTCATTGAAAATCCCAACTTATATCACAATTCTCGAAACTTTGACGTTTTAATTATTTTTCCAGAATTATCCGACGCCGCTACGCACTGCCTGACGCAGCTTACAAAATCGGCATTGAATAGGAAACACGCCGACAAATCGATCGACGTATCGCTCGCGGACTTCTTCAATGACCTGAGACTGGAGAATGAGCAGGCATTAAAGTCTAATCGAAGTGGCGCTGGCGACGCGGACAGAGGCGACGGCTGCCAACCGGAGTACGTCTGTGAGGAGCTATGCAAGCTGCTAATATATCGCGTCCAAGATATCTTCGATAAGAAAAAGTGCTTAGCGAGTCAAGGTGCGTTCGCGATAACACATTACTGAATTCCGTAAATAGTGTTGTACCTACGATTTTTTTCGAAACATTAAGAATGTATGGCGAAGTGGATAGTGAGCAGAGGGCGTGGGTTCAATCCCCACTACTGGTAAAGTATTATGTGATGAATATTGTTTCTAGTACCTGGGTGGTCACTGTATATGGTATGTTTATATGTACATGGTGTATGTTTACTTACAAAACAAAAGTATTTTTAGTTTTTTTTTTAAATCAGAGTCAAAAGAATTTTAACACCAGCAATTATGTCGTCGATTAATTTCTTTTATTTTGATTAAAAAATAGTTTTAAAAATGTATTAGAAAACCATGCAGCAGCTTTGTCTGTAGCACGAATGGGTAGCCTACCCTTACGGGTATGTACCACGGCCTCTCAGTAGCCCAGCATGAAGTGGAATTATTATTCATTCGCGTTTCTTCCGATGAGAAAGGTAACCGGGGTCCACTTCTTTTATGATGACATCCCATCTTCAACACGGCGGCGGTAATCATTTAACATTACAGTTTGCTCGTTTGCCAACTTTTTACATAAATAACTACAGTTATTTTTACTTATTTAAACATAAATAAGCCAATTCAGACCAATCTAAAACAATAAGACTACTCGTGACCACATCAATTCGAAAAAGCGAGCCTTGCTTGCATGCCTCAATGCGTTTTTTTGTTTGATTTCAGACGAAGCGTGGGCAAGCGTTTGCTCGTGCCTATCGCATCTGCTGTCCGTCAGCAGCCGCGGCCGCTTGTACGGTGTGCACCGTCAGCTGCCGAGGCTGTTGCTGGCGGCGGTACAGGCGGTGCGAGACCAGCTCTCCCTGCTGGGGAAGCCGGTCGACGTCATCAGGAATGCTAATCATGTGCGTTCTCATTTGTTTATCAAAGGTCTCATTATATTGAGAGTTCGAACTATAGTGACGTCACTAACGAGTTTTATCAATAAAATGATTGAAACTTTCGTGAGACATTATTAAAATAATAATAAGACGGTTGAACTCACGTAAACCCGGTGTATGTACCGACTAGTTTCGGACTCATCGGAGGCCCTTCATCAGGGTGAGTGGGATTAGTTCGCGGTCGCGCCCCGTCTCGCACTGCGCGCCTGATCAGCACGCGGGTTGCGCCGGCGATGATGAAGAATCCGGTGAGATTGGTCTAGTGTCACTATTGGTGATTTTGGGCGCACAAAACGTACTCACTATGACCACTATCGTTTTTATTCCGTGTCGCAATCAACAACACGGGTTTCCAAGGCGGCAGAGCCCATCCCTTGTCTCTATTAAAATTGACCCGACGTTCGATCTCGATGGCTTCCAAGAGCTTCCGTGACACGAAGTTCTTCTCACGGGCTAGCACTTTCACCTTATCGAACCTAATAAAATGTGAGGTGTCGGAATTAAGGGAGTGCTCTGCCACCGCCGAGGTGTTGCTGTCCATTTTTCGTATACTGCGGATGTGTTCGGTGAGCCTAGTACATATGTTGCGTCCCGTTTCTCCAATGTAGCTTTTGCTGCAGTCGCATGGGATTTCGTAGACGATGATCTTCAACGATGTGGGGTTGTGCTGTAAGTGTCCAGCTGTAAGCGGAGAATAGCAGTTAAAAACTTGTCAGAATGGTGCCAGCATAGCAAAGGCTCATCGAGTTGAATTTCAGTGATTATTATCGATAATTACTATTAATTCACCAGCACTGCCTATAATACCCACGTGCATTAGATTCAACAATTTGACACTTTTCGGCGGACACTTTTTTACGTAGAAATTGTTCTCCTTACCTCCAAACGTCATGCGTAGCAGGTTAATATAATAGTGGTACATAATATATTATTTGAATATTATCTTTATTAATTAGCACAGAAAATTAATGCTTTACGCGAATATTTAGGTTGGGTTATTTTATTGTAACTATCAAACAATCCATGAACAAATTCAGAAATTTCGACCATTTACGTAATTTATATAATTTACGCTCAATTTGTATTAAATACTTACGTAGTAACGTCTATACATGTCCTACTGCTGGCCAAAGGCAAAGGCCTTCTCTGTGCAGAGAGTATCAGGGTATAGTCTTCCACGCGGCCCCACTGCGGATTGGCGGACTTCACATATTTTCGGAATATTTTTTGTTATTATTTCGAAAATATGCAGGTTTCCTCACGATGTTTTCTCTTCACTGCTGAGCATGTGGTAAATTAACACTTAAAATTAACAATTTCATTGGCGCCGGCACCGGGGATCGAATCGAGGTTGCTCGAGTATATTGAAAAAAAAAAAATCGAGCGCCCGGACTCTGAGCTATCACGGCTCTTACTAAGATAATTTTCTTAAATTTCAGGATCCAGTTTTGCAGACTTTGTACTGGCTGTTGACAATAATGAACTGCCTTATGTTGGAGTGTCCACATGCCAAGGATAGTTTCGCGGATAACATCACGTGCAGTCTCAATAAGCTGTGGCCTTGGTGCATGATGACGGAACAACTGAGGGGTGCCATTTTACATCTCTTGGTCACATTCACAAACGAATGCCCCAAAGGTGAGGAGGTTGCGGTAAATTTACCAAGACTTTAAACACGTTTAGTTAATAAAGAAATCTTCTTATTATTTTATCTTCTTATCTTTACTTTACTTTATTAATACTTTTTATCTTCTTATTGTTATTAAATTTTTATCTACCTGCTTCGCAATTGAATCAACGACTCAGTATTACACGCACAGCATCGTGCGCTGTAGTAAATTGGAAGATTCGGACCAAATCTTAATTAAAAAATATTAAAGAAATATCTTTTATTGTATGTCGTATTATGTCACGAATATTTCATAAATTTTAATTGCAAACTTATTTTCGTATAATTATATGAAAATGCCGATATCAAGACGACTGACCTTTTTTATAAGCGTGGGCGTGTATGTGCGCGTGCGTGGGCGGGCGGAGCCTGATGAGTGAGCTTTGCGCGCTTGTGGGAAGAAGTAGCAGCCTGTTGCTGCTTTCTTTGAGGATATTGAGACAGTGCGTGTCGCATCATCACTGCCGAGCGATTATATTAAAAGTACGTATTACATATCACACTATTTTGTTATCTAGTGCAGCTTCGTCAATCCTAATCAAAAGGTGTTTCCTTGTAGTCGCATTTAACGATAATTAAAGGCGGACTACAAGAAAACAACAGGGTCGGCATGGGGCTGACACGTTTCAGCAAAGAGGTGATAAGGGAAGGTTTATAATTCTCTAAAGCAAGCTCATGCGTATTATAGAAAGGCACCGGTATATTTTGTAGCGAATTTTAAAGCGTTCTTCAATATTTAAATATGAATTTAACATTGTCTGTCCCAAATTAGGTAGGGTATCTTTTGAATTTTTCCCCCTCGATACGACACTGATGCCTTGCTAATTATCATCTACCTCAGTCGTACAAAAATTCTTTATCATATTTCAAACTTCCTTACCGATCGATATAAATTACGCGTTATCAGTGTCGGGTATAGATGGTATGGCCATGTCGCACGCCGGTCGGAAAAATATGTCGGAAGGTAATGCCTTGACATGCCTGTTCCGGGAGCTAGACCTCCTGGCCGCCTAAGAAAGCGATGGCTGGACGTAGTGAAGCAGGACATGAGAGCGAATGATCTGACCCATAAGGATGTCGAAGATCGGCTAAAGTGGAGGAGATTAAGTAGGAAAGTAGACCCTGGCAATAGCTGGGATAAATGCTAGGTAGAAAAAAAAAGTGTTGGAAAGTGGACTTGTATAGGATGTCACTCTGTGTCGACTCGAAGGCGATTCGGAGCCGTGATATTAGTTTTGTGTGATGATTTGAGTGATGTATAATTAAGTTTGATGGCGCCCGCACCAGAGCGAGGTGCTGGCGTGCATGGGCAAGGCGTGGCGGGGCGCGGGGGGCGCGGCAGGGGCGCAGTGCGCGTGGGCGCGCCTCTGCTCCGCGCTGGCCCGCCACCCGGACGGCGGCGGCGCGCTGCTGGCGCTGCCCGCGCTGCGGCCCGCCCACGCGAGGCTCCTGCCCGCTCTCGCTTATGCCGCGCACCACCACCGGGCCGCCTTCCTCCACGCGCGTGAGTTCGCCGCGACACACTGTCAAAGTCCTGTCGCGGAGAAGAATTTCGCACGCTGTCTCTTTTCCCCCCGCGCGAATATATCGAAGTATTGCATATATGCGACGATCGCCGTCGAAGGCCGTACGAAATTCTTCAGCGGCCGGACCATATAATAAGACCAATGCCTTGTCGTGCGTGAAGGGGAATAAAACAAACAGAACAGAAAAAAAAAATTCACGCATCGGTTCACCTGATGTTAACCTGATCTTACATCCATTTATTGACATCTGCAACCCCTGACGGGTTGCCAAGGCGTTTCCAACCATTAAAAAGTGGGCACTCTGCTGAAATGCGAAAATATACACTTTCACTTAACACCAGACTTCTATGAGGCCGTGGTACTTCCCCGTGCAAGCGTGCCCATTCATGCGACAGTAAAAACTGCTGAGTACAGGGTACAGGGGATATATATCTTGATCAGAATTTAATTTCGATTCCACCGATCAGCCGATCTGCTGGAGCTGCTATCGGCAACGCTTTTGACGGGTAACACTGCTGACGTGGTGCTCGCCGCACGCGCTGTATGGGCCCTGGCCGCCAACAATCACAGGGTAAGGTTTGAACAGTCACAGTTTTACGTCGCGATTGAAGATTATTGCGTAATCGTTATTAACTCTCAATTATCATAAATTGCGATTGAGACACGCGACTCCGCTAACGTGGCTCTACGTTTTAACCGACACCTAATTGTGTTAGATTTATGTAGATTTTGTAGACTATTATGTAATGTGTTTGACTTCTAGACAAAGGAAAGCGGATATTTAGCTCGTTACCTTTAATTGAACACCTGCATTGTTTTGATGTTTTTTTTTTTCTTGTTAGTCATCCGTTTGTTTGAACTGAAGTAAATCAAGTAGACAAAGCCAAAGCATTCCATTTTTTTCCTTTCGTTGTAAACCGGTTTCCTGTTTTTTGTTTCGTAGATATTGCGCGTCAATTATGTTTATCAAAAAAATGTTCACCATTTTAAAAAACCATTAGTTGAAGTTAAACATAACATGAAAATATATTTTTCTTTTTGCGACATTTGCTCGCATGGCTAATATAAGAAGAATCAATGTAGGCCGGAATAATGTAATATATTTTTTTCTTTTAAAAAAATACAGTCCTTACTTTAGGATAACATTATCGTGTGTTGTAAGGACATTTTAAAAACATAAATTTCACGCAGACAAACACCCGCATAACATAATGTAATATTAGACACAACTTCTGGCTACCGCAATAACTCTTTGAGATTTTAGTAATTCTACGTTTTATGGGTGATCTTTTAAGAAACTTCTGTAATAATTTACGTTATGAGAACGCTCGACCGCATAATGTGACCGAAGAAGCTAAGTGCTAGTTCCTGGTATATTTCTAAGAGTCGTTTGGTGATGTTCAGTTCTTTTAGAATAGATTCGCTTGATGCCATGGCAGTCAATGGTATCCGCAGCATTCTCTGCCAACACCACATCTCGAAGGCATCGACTCTTCTGTTATCGGTACTATTCACACAGGTTTCGACGCCGTACAAAATGTTCGAGAAAACCAAAGCTCGAATCAAACGCACTTTTGCCGCTAAGACTAAGAGTCATGTTACTCTATATTCTATCTTCCGGTATTAGGCTGTTTCACGCGAAGTATTAAAAACGAAAAGATGTTGATCAATTCCAGTTCATTCTGGTTTCGATTAATGTAGTTGGCTATTACGTGTAATGCAATGTTTGTTATAAATTAATGTTTTACTATCCGTCATTTTGTGTTTTGACAATCCGGGCCGTTTGGCTCGATCCTATTTGATCGAGAATGCAAAATGTGAATAGCGTTGCACACTGCGGTATTATAACGAAGAATGTATAGGAAAACTGAATTTTCGTCAATATTTTGCCAAAGAAAAAGGAAAATGATAACATAAAAAAACAGTCAGTCAAATTTTTAACGGACTAGTGCGGTTTCATATCGTCCGTTTCATTATGAACAAATATCGCAGAATCCGATGAGCTTGCTCAACACAAGATTGGATAGGATTCGAGCACTAACCATGTTAATAAAAAGTAACACAAATAAGACAATATTATAGCATGAGACGTTAAAAGAGGGATCTCACTAACGCTTTATGTGATGGTTTAAGTTGATTTGTCATAGGCGAAGCTGGTGCTGCGAAGCGCCGGTGTGACGTCAGCGGTGCAGTCTGCCATGCAGCGGGTGCAGCGCGATAAAGCTGGCGCCTCATCTTCACTGCAAGCGCTACAGCTGCTTACTTACACCAACAGCGTGCTGCAGGCCATGTGACATAACGATACCCCATACATTAGCTTTATTAACATATAGTATGTTATTACAAGTAATATGGTGTGTCAAAATTTGTCCAAAATAAAATAGTGTTAGTTATTATTGTTACGAAGTTCTTCAATTAATAAAAAACGATTTAATACTGACAATGTCACTTTTGCATTTAGTCTGCATTTATCTTATTTTAGAGTTTTTTAACTATTAATTTAATAAAGTTATGTTTAATGACTTTACTTTATAATTATTTTACTTTTACAACCAGTGTTAATTTACATATGTTGAGAAAAAAGGTGTTTCGATGAAGTGCTCTTTGTCTTAGAAAAAATATTTATTCAATAATACAATTAAATTGTTAAATTTCCTAAAAAGTCATGTGTAAAAGATGAAATTCGATATTGATTAGTGTATCAATTTAAAATAAACATTTTTATACGTTCTTCTATACTTTCATTCCTACCTTTGTAAATTATAATTAAACTACTAAAAATACTTGTATATTTGTATATGAATTCTTAACGTTTCTTAACATTTATCTGTTATACACACGTACTGCAAACTTTAAACCAGACCTTGTAGATTAAAGACATTATAGCAGTGGACATAAATCATTAGGTGGTGTCCTAGCTTGACTACCCAGCATAATTTGTGTAACTATTTATATAGCCCATAAATTGTAGAGTCGCAAAATATGATTTTAATTTCATTCAATAACGGTGTGTGTAGATTTTACGTTTCTGATTCTATCATTGCTAAATTAAAACCGGGATCTCCTTCTTCCCTTAATTATTTACTCGGTTAAATATTTGTACGTTACTCATTTAGATTGGAAAAGATGTCCAAAACGACTAGTTTTCTTTCAATGAACGTTTAACAAAGTTCAAAAGTTGACGGCTGTCAGGAATGGTCTAAAGAATAGAGAGGACACCTTCAGGTTTGTATGGAGTTTGATGCATTTTACAAGAAGCGACCCACTGATATAAGTATGCTTATCATAAAGCCAAACAGTAAATAAAATTCTTTACTAAGAAATGAGTTAGTGCGGAGATTAATGATAATTGTGTAATTAAAAATGAATGCTTGTACATGAATGAGACCTTCGATTCTGTAGTGCCATTTTTAACCTACCTTGGATACAACCAATTTATTCATTTTGTTTGATAGCCAGATACAGAAATACCCAACTCTGATTTAGAAATGAAGTAACGATAGTAATCCTTATATTCAATGCAATATACAATTGTTTTAAAATGTATAGCACAAAAACCTTCAGAAGTCATTTAAACAAATTTCTATTTAGGAAATTCTTAACTGGTCCTACTATATATGTTAATGTATATTCGCTTCTGAACAAGTTCACTAACGATAAATATTAACTCATAAAAGATGACTTGTATACAATCATTTTGATAATTAACAATTTAGCCCTTATTAGAAGCAGACAATACACACTATTACGCTTGCACGATGGTGGTTAGCTCCATCTGCGCTAACGTCAATTGTTTATTTATTGAAAATAATGTGGGTACGGTATAAAATAATGACAACAAACGCAGTGTGCGGCGTGTGGTCAGCGCCGTGGCAGTGTGCGCTGGCGCGTCTCGCTTATCGCTTCCACGCTCGAATCCGATAAGGTGCGCCCGTCGATACTGTGTACACAGTGCGAATTCGACGACGGGGAAGCTTGCGTTACTCATTATCGTCGCAAGGAGCGATAATCCGGCTGTTTGTCAGTGAGTCCGCGCGCCGCATACCGCCTACCGCGCGCCCGGCGAGAAGGGACAATGGTTCGGCTCGGCCTCGTCCCGCTGCCCGCCATATGAGCCGCCGGGACGCCCCCGTTGCGCTAACAGATCGAGGGTTCGGTCGAGATGTCGCCGCCGCGCTTCAACTTTCCACCGGAACGCTACTCCGCCGTTTACACGGGCGACGCGACGTGCGCGAATGTGAGTACCCCCGCGGTGAGAGGCGAGTGGCGGGTCGCTTCAATGGTGCCCGGTTTGCGTGCAGCGACAAGGTCGTCGTGTACACTAGTGCATTCAACCCGTTTTGGAATAGATCAACATCCGACCGTCGGACGGCACTATCTCGAGGATCAGTAATTGTTTCCCGAAGAATGCCATCGTAACTTCTATTCCTTAATTCGTTCGTGAGGAGCTCGTTCAAAATCTTAGAGATTTGTACGGGATAGTACTAAGAAGAGCATATTACAAAGCAGGTTAAGGTTATGTGGAGGGAAAACTATACAAGATTTATCCAAAGTGAATTATTTAAATAAAGGATGGCTAAAATAACAATAAATAATGAATATTAATAAAAGTAATATTTTTACCGATACGCACCCAGTCTATGTAGAAGTATTATATATTATGAAAAATTTTAGTAGAATTCATTGCATACATAAGTACTTCATAATTAATTTTAATTTAATTGATGAGTAATAGTTAAATTGAAACGTAGGAGATAGAAGTAAAACTGATTGTGGTCTGTTCTGTTGTTTTTTTTAATGTATTTATAAGTAGGGTGGCGTACTTATCGACTCAAATATTTATTAAAATCTGGGTCGATAAAATGACGATTTACTGTTTTGTATAAAGTTTTGTAAAAAAACATAAACGAATTAATTAAACGTTGACAGCACTATATTGCTTGTTCGTAATATTGCCAGCAAAGGTTACATCATTCGGAACATATGGTTTAATTTGTGTGTAGATAACTTCGACTTCAAATACCTATAAAAGTACAGAGCAAACAGTTTTGTTTATGCTCAAGCGTTTCTATACAAACGTGTACTTATTGAGTGGTTACAAATGAAAACGGTTGCAAAGTACGGATGTAACGCTAAAGTAAATTACTATTAAAAAGGAGGTAAACGAGCAGATGGTCGGTTAGCTCATACTCGCAACATCAAGACGTTGCCAGACTTCGTGGTAGGAATAGCCTCTCTGTCCTTGAAGGTTCCTAAGTCGTATCGGTCCGTATATAACCCTGGCGACCACTGATCGTACGTAGAAGAAAATTGCATGAAAAAAGCACGGTGGTGGACTGACAACCGTCAAAGTGGTATTGATGATATTTGGCGATATGACGAGTTGTAGGTTTGTGAATCTCAGCAGCGGGTAAAATAATCCGAAGAATTGCTGAGAGCAGTTACCGTGATCTACTTTGGAGACTGAGTTTTTTAGATGCCAACTTGGTTTTCCCTAAAAGGTGGCTTGGAAATTGGACGTGGTGTGTTTCAATATGTCTACGTCAACAATTCCAATCGCGTCTGTTGCAAAACTGTGATTAATTTCAAAACTATTATTTGGTTCTTCTGTTTGGATGTTACAATTCCAGCAGATGCTCGCTTCACAATCCACCTCCAGTCCTCCCTGACATGACTATCCACTGCTTATTATTAGCTATCGTTACAAAAATTTACTTGCAAACAACTTGTTAATTTGTATTCATTAATATCTTCACCACTCTTTGAACTAGGTACTTGTTGTACAAAATATTTAAGTACCATGATAAACTTGTCAGGGGAAAAAACTATTTGTTTTAAAAATCATTTTACTTATAAAACTTAAGCTCATGCTCATCAATAGCAAATTGATTTTTCCTTACCTATTTATTTATAGATTTCACTTTAAAAGTAAAGTCGTTGAAACAACCACACTCACGAAACTCGTTGCTATTGCATAAAGTCCTTAGCGGAGGTTATCAATAGATTTATTGTTTTAGCAGTTCAAGTGTTAAAAATTGAAAATATATAAGACTAGTCTGACAATATATTATATTATATACGACGTAGTTACACGATTGTTGACTTGTTACAAGGTTTATTAAGATTAAAATCATAAGTTTCTATTCTAATTGTAATACGATGGTGAATATAACCGTTTTTTGCTCGGTCTACATAAATTATGTCAATTGTTCTAATTTTATATAACTAATTTTATATCCATTCTATCTGCATTTCAGGTCGTTAATTGTACAGCTGCGGGATGCGAACCCTGCGATGTGCGTAGTCTTGTCAGCGCTCCCACGTCTGATCCGTCAACGCCGCCAAGTTCTTTGTTTAGTTGTTTTCATTGTGCGGTAAGAATTTTATATGGAAAAACAGTTTATAATTTTTAATTTAGCTTTTAAAGAATGTCAAACATATAGTTTATGATAACCGTGATAGCTCAATGCCCGATCGCCAAAGAATGTCAAACATATAGTTTATGATAACCGTGATAGCTCAATGCCCGATCGCCAACTTTTATTGATATATATTCCAACAACACGGATTAAACTTTATGCCGGCAATACTGAAGTTGTGAAACGAAGTTTTAATAACTAATTTGGACTAATCACATGCTCATTGGTAATGTAAAACATCGCGAGGAAACCTGCATATTTTCAAAGTTATAATAATAATAAATAATGCGTCTGGTGGGGTCCTATTTATTTATGTATCACTAGCTTTTCGCCCGCGGCTCCACTAGCTTGTACTACGTGCGTGAGTCCAACTCGCACTTGGCCGTTTTTTTTTAAATTTATATAAAGTTAAAATCATCATCATTTTACAGACTATAATGTAAAGTTTACGATAGTTTCATACAATTCAGCCGTAGCTATTATATAGCATTTTAGCGCGGAAATATTCAGTGTGGTTATTTAAGTGGATATAACTTTTATTTATGAACCGATATAAATAAAATTTAATGTTAAGTGAAGCTTACTACAATGCATTAGTGAAAGTTAAGCCGTGTCTAAGATTAGTGCATACAAACGCAGAGAAACAGATAAATAGACAAAAATTAAAAAAAATATTGTTTTGGGTTCTATTTCGTTGATAAAGGCCCCCAATAATATTTTTTCTCTCCCATGTGCAGACAACGATCAGTAACATTTTTATAATATGTAATATATATCTATATGTTTATTTTATTAACAAACCCAACCAGACCAGAGAAAAAGTCAATATTTTTACCCATATTAATAAATATCTAAGATATCTTAAGATTGCCAATCCTTCGTTGGGTTTGCGTGGTGGACTATGCCCTAAAGCCCTCTGTACAGAGGAGGCCTTTGCCCAGCAGTGGGATATGTATAGCCTGTTATACTTGAGGCCTTTGCCTGGCAGTGGGATATAGGTACTATTGGTCTGCTTACTAAGTTTTTGAACAAATATTACAAATACAACTTTAGTTACTTATGAATTTAATTATGATAATACCTAATCAGTATAAGCGAATATTGTTAACAAATGGGTCCTGGGACATAAATACAACAACATAACGAGTTTCATTGTCCATTTTGCTTTTACTATAATTTCTACAATACGCTTGACGTATAATGCGCTAACAGGAATATATTTAGCGGATTTTGCTAAATACCGGTTATCATTATTGAAGGTCTGCTTAAAACAAATGAGTGCGCAAGTTCATTTGTGCATATCTATTAAATGATTTAAATTGCAATATAATACTGACGCTCTCTTTTTAGGAATTTAGCTCGCGTTACTACTGGCTACTAGGCCTAAAATCCTCTCTCCAATCAATCGATCTAATTGTACCAAATTTTAACCAACTGTCCTCTCCATATCTCCTATTGTTTTCATTAGAAGAGTATATTTGTTTGTTACAGTTTCGTAATGGTCTAAACGTTCTCCATAAGGATAAACATGCTGCAAAGAAAAAGGTAAGATTAGGATAAATTTTATGTATGATACATAATTATGTACAGTTAGGTAGCTAGATTGCCTACGTTTTGCAAGATTTTCCAGACTGCGGGTCTGGGTTCGATATCCACACGGGTTAAGTATTATTCATATGATCTATAAAATGGAATAAGAAATATATACATAAATTACATAAATAAATATAATAAAATTGGAAGTAATTATTCTGATACTGTGTGCTTTATTATATTTAAATTTGTATTCACTTTATGGGATTTAGTATTTAATCGTGCGTGTTATCATAAAACAATATTTATTAAGTTTATCAGACTTAAAATATGGAATATGGTGTTTCAAATAGGTGTGAGTCAAAACCCTGTCTTCCGATTTGCAGTCATAGAAAACTTTTCTACAAAATCTAATAAGGACGGAAATGTACAGATAAGCTACATATATAAGGAATTGTTTTAGTAATTCAACTATGCACTTATATTAATATCTAATTTATAGAATTTTTTCGTGGCTGTGATTTAGAACTAATGTTTCAAATCAAATTTTTGTTGTACATATTTCAAAATTACTTTTGAAACACAGAATCTAACCTTATGCTGAAATAGGACTTTCTATCTAGATTGTTTTTCAATACAATAATGCATATTATATTTACATGTAATAATACGAGGAAATTTCGTCCATTGCGGATTCCGTATAGTTCGGAAGCTTGTTCTGTTAAGTATAACTAATTTCTTCTAATGACGCGATTACACATTACTAATTGAAACTATGTTTACGGATTTATCGCGTTTATTTTCCATTTTTATTTCCCGACGTTTCAAACCACACCAGAGAGAATAATTGATAGATACAGAGAGATAATAGAGAGTAATTACTACGTTTTCGTACGTGATGGGCACAGGCTGAGGCGTTGAACGTCTGAATGTCATAGTTAGCCCTATTCTTGTCTTGCAGAAGTGTGTAGTGAAATTAAATCTAATCCCAAACAAGGTCCCGTTTAATAAGCGGCCCAAGTGATGAAATTTGACAAGGTTTCATGAAACGGTCATAAATGTTCATTGGTTTTTAGCAATTGGTCACTACTTTGACACTACAGACAGTTTAAAATTCCAAGAAGATGTGTATAATAAATCCTAGAGCCGACCTCTATAATTGCAACTCTCAAATAATTGCAATTGTTCCCAAAATGGTCATAAATGGTCAACTAATCTATATATATCTAATACCTTTAAACGAGCAATTCTTGTATATATGAAACTCGGAAACAGCTCCAGCGATTTTCATGAAATTTTGTATGTGCGTAGATTCGGGGGCGAAAAATCGATCTCGCTAGGTTTCATTTTTAGAAAATGTCCTTTGATCCCTGTTTTCAGGGAATGACATTCGAATATGACTGTAAATTTCGCCGAAACAAAAATGTTATAATATCTCGGTCAGTAATCGGGTGGCCCCGAAACAGAAGACCACGGTTCGTGTTACTATCATTTACTCGCTTATTTTTTTTTTCTTTTTGTTCCATACCAGATCATTGATTTTGTAAAATCAAACAAAAGTTACTTAAGAAATACACACAATTGATCAGAAGTTTACAATAATTGGTCAACAGTATAGATATGATCAATAGAGATTAAAATTTCAAGGGCACTTTTATCATCAAAGCACCTCAATTTGATCGGATGATCTGTCTTTAATGGGGTAAACAGTAGTGGAATAAAAGATCTGAAAAAAAAATTATAACAGCAAATTTTGGCTATGGTAGGACCACGCAACCTTAGTCCGTAAGGGTAAGTACAACGAACTCATAGAAGACCAGCGTGAAGTCAAAGTCTTTTTATCTATTTTTGCGTTTCATCTGGTGAGTTAGATACCCGGACCCCACTTTATTAAATGTGACCACGCATCGGCAACCCTACGGACGTGGACCGCCAGACCGCTCGCCACCGTCTCACATTAATAAAAAGTAATATGTATTTGAGACTGTTTTACTTTACATAAGACATAAAACGAAAATATTATTTTAGTGAGGATAAACGCAAAAAACTGAGTATTTATTATGTGAATTGGGATTTCCGACCAAAATAAATATTTGACTCGGTACTCATTTTAAGAGTGCTTGCTATACAGAGGTACATAAGTAGAATATTGGAATAGGAACTTACAATGTCATGGAAGATCCAAAGGTAAACATAGTAAGTGGCTTTACAAAGATAATAAATTATACGAAAATATGGTATGATTCAACAAAGATGGTTGATGATAATATTGTTGTAGTATTAGTCTGATTCAGATTTTGTTGTGCTGAAGTGGTACATGCATCTGTATTCTCCCTTTAAAGTTAATCAATAACTGACATTATTGGAGTAACAGGTACGGATGAAGTCACACAAGTTCCCACGCTGTTTAAAATTTTTAGTATCTTTTTTTTCAATATGGATATTCCCATACATCAATACTGTCTCAATAACAAATTTTAACCCAAAACCAGGTAAAATCAGTTATATGTAAATAACGGCAACTACCAAGTGTTTTACTTAGTTTAATGACTGTAGTGGTTGATATTAATTCTATGAATTTGGACTCTGTATTAATTTTTTAATTTCATTGATCTGATAAAGTTATACGGAACAGATTATAGACTCGTGTACTTTTAACACTTAAAGCCTTTTTAAATCTTAGCCTTGTCTTCGAACGGCACGGACGCAAATAATATATATATTTTTGGCTACAATAGTTTTTTGCTTCCGGAGCAAAGTAATAAAAGGTAAATATAAAGCTCAACAAATTTTTACGTCACAAGTTAAATAACAATCACTTTCAAAGATTGAGATTGGTCAATTTATGCAACGTTTTAGAAAGCCTGATTTTTATCGCAAGAAATTTAAAAAAAAACTTACTTTATTAGCACATAATATCTTCATACTACATAACCAATGACATAAGAAGTTCCGGATAGAATTTCAATAGAATATCAGGACTGTCGCGGTCACGAACTGAGTCCTATTATACCCACGATCTAAGATCAGACTCTTATTTTCCTCTCATAAATAGGCAGCATCCTCATTTCTTATAATGATTTCTCCTAATTCGTTGTCTTACCGGGTTTCTAAAAAGTTTACGCTGCTGTGTAACAATTATGTTGTTATTGTTTTGTTCTTAAAACAACTCCCACGCGACGGAATCAATCCCGTGAGTCGATGATGTCCTTTCCGCTTCATGCCGGTCTTCCACGTTGTGGTACCCGCACGGACCTGTCCATTCGTGCACCAGCCGAAGCTGTTGCCCTGCCACATTTAAAAGAGCGCGCACAGGATCCCATTTGATTATTTAAACAAACCAAGTGGACATCGAACTTATATACGATGCGCAAGTGTAGCGAGATGACCACTTAGATAATTGCGTTATATATGCAGTCGTATTTGGCGGAATACTTGTCATTACATACATATCCCACTACTGGACAATGTGTCGCTGTTGTTGACGACTCCGCGAAATAATATTTTTCGACAAAACTTTGGGAAATCGATGGTCAAAATTTTAATTAAATATTTATACTGAGAGTTATCTACGGCTACTAAGCAGAGCGTTATAGATTATATGTTGTAAATCAATTATATCTTTATGGAAGTAGATAAATGATGGGTAGTCTTTAAAAAACTGACGAGAAAACTTATATTAAGAATGATTTACTGGCAAATATTTTTAATATCGATATTGAAACGGACAAATAATTGGAAATTTTAAATTTTAACTTTAAGGGTAAAGCAGTTCAAGTTACGCAAGTTTAGACTGGAATCTGCCTTGTGAAGTATTTTATATGGTTTTTATTAATTTCTCTCAAAACGAAGGTAAAAGTTGTTGGTAGAAACTTTTGTTTCACAAGTAAAACTTTTAACACAGGTAATAATATAATATTTTTGTTTTTAATTCTTAAGCGATTAATCATATGCCAGTTATGGAATGGTGAGCAGTGCTACATTAAGCGTTAAACCATTAAGGTTAACTTTTGGTGCGCAAAAACTAGCCATGCTTGAATTTACGTTATAAAATATTATGAGGAAATTTTGAAATATCGAAAAGTACAATAAAACGGTTCCGCTTAGCATGAGAAATGAAAATAAATAATATTGAGAATATATATGCGACGAATACGGGCCGCCGACTTTTTTCCACGTGTATTTCGTAAGAGTGTATGTGGTAAGAACTGAATACATTTCCCGATGTTACCAAATGAAGTTTTTTCGGTGGAATACCGGGACCCCTCCGCGGCTTACATAAGCTCCGTGTCGGCGGTGAGTGACCGGAATCGACCGGTGATTTACCGTCTCTCACGTTTGGCCCCTTACTCTGCCCTGACATCTTTCTTCCTTCTAGTCAAATCTTTTTTGTGCACGTGACAGAATAACTCGAATTTGAATTATTCGCACTTAAATCGAAGCCAATGAAAATGGTAATACGTAAATTAGGCACCTCTTTGGATTAGACATTTATATTGAGAGATTCAATCAGCTCTCAGTACATATATATTAGTGTTGTTGATTTAAATTTAGTCGATTATAGATAGTAATTAATATTTCTTTAAATAATAACGTACTGTACATGCGCTTTTTAACCGAAGAATTTCAAAATAGGAGGATTAATTTATCTAAGCTAATTTATGTAAGCTTTTTTATGTTTATACATCGATTATACTCGAAAACGCCTGAACCGTTTGAAACATTCTTTTTGTATTGTGTACGGTTGATTTGAATACTTTTGCTTTGTTTTATTTGCATCTATTCAGGCGGCGTTCTGCACGTGAAGGATCATACCATCTATGGGGTGAAATTTAAAGAAAACCTGTTGAACACTCAAAGGACACGGGAAAACGTGGATCTGTATATTTCTGAAATATAGTGTTTGTTTTACAATTTTGTAAGTCGTTACGCTAGTGTTTTGCTCACCATAGGTTTTACGTAATTTTTCACGATGGTTGAGATCTAACCGAACTGTAATACTTTTTTTTTTTTCATATGTAAGG